TTTTCTTAAACATTTGGAACAAAATAAAATAAATATGAAATGCAAAACTACGGTGTATGAAATTGGGTGTACCGTCATTTAATCTACGTTACAGTGTACAATAAAGATGTTGTTCAATATAAAAATATCTTAATTTTAATACGGTGTATCAGCTGCATAACACAGACTTTTCATTAACAGAAAAAATAGAATAATATTCAAAATTCAATTTTAACATTCATTCATATAAACTTTCGAAATATAAAATTCCCTCCTATCGTACCCATGTTCAAAATTTCAGATTTTTGCAGCGTGTTACACGCATAAACTCATCGCTTTTGTCTATAATCGGTGTATCGTCGTATTTTTTTTTTTTTTTTTTCAGTTGTTTCCTATTATATTAAAACAATTACTAAAAATTTCAACTAATAACCGCTAGAATTGAATCTCCAACAGGATCGAACCAAAATATAGATCACTATTTCTCGCTTGATGTTTTTGATCCGAACAAGTCTTCTGGTCGAATTCGTAGTATTATACAAAACAAATATTTCAAAAACATGGAAAAACCGACACGTCGAGGAACAAAATTCTACTCGACTATATTTTCAACATTGACGTTTTTGATCGCTCGCAATTTGTGAGTCGTCCTAACCAACTGTTGTTTGTACACTACATACGGTAATTCTAGTCTTTATAAATTTAGCCTAGTTCTTAATATTGTTAGCCAAACACTCGATACACGATATACTATTGTCTTAACGTAGTAAATTTCCTGTCTGCTGTAAAGCCAACAATTATTGTTAACCTTAACCTAGTTCGTAAATATAAACTAATCAAACACTATATCAACATTTTTAGATTCGGAACGTAGCGAGAGATCTATTGGTTTTATTATGATGTGCGTTTTTTTCTGTATTTTTTTTTTTTTCTGGTGTGTATAAGTTGATGGTTACATGATGATAATAAAATCAAATTTTCTACTGAATATAACCATTAAAGTGCTCACACGCTGCAGCAGTAGCGGTAGCGATATAGTAAACCGCCGTCGTGTTCGCACTGCTGCGGTGGATATTTTTTTTCCAGTACTTGAAGAATGTAGGCACTATCATAATATTAAACATAAAATAAGGATAATGATAGTCTGTTAGAGTTGGATTAGCAATAATTTAATTTTGACTTACCCACTAGAATTTATAGCAAACATATCCATTATTTGGGAATTTATTATAAATCACCGAAGTATTCCTTCACTTTTAAATACCGGGAAATCATCCATCACTATAGTGATACGTACCTGTTGTTATCCTAGGGATCGCGAGTTTAAACCCGAGTTTATATGTCGGTCAAATAGATGGAGAATATCGGCCACTGATAAAAATGTATCAATTAAACACGAAAATCAAAAAATACATTATAATGTTATTATGCGCACGCGTTTAAACGCCATTAATCATTGGAATGTTTTTTAATTACAGGGGGGTAGTTTTTTTTCTCGGGAAAGTTGTAATATTAATAATATTTAATTATACAATGCGTACGCTTTTTTTTTCGACTAGGTATATTATAATATAGGAAAGGTAGGTTTTAATATAGGTATTATATTCTTTTATTCGGAAGAGTTCAAGGACTATCTGATATACCGACGACGTATAGTTGATTTACGGGTTTGACAGTGTTTTTTTTTCTCCCGCACAGCGCTCTTTTAATAGCCGTTTTATAGTTTTGGACACGTGGAAACTCGAAGGTCCGTGCAACGGGCGAACTCTACAATAAATACGCACGGAATATTATTGTGGTTATATAAGTACAGCAAGTTAATGATATAAAACTCGACTGTTTTCAAAGCGGCTGCAGTTTCGGTTAAGTCCATCGTCGTCGCGCACGCCGCAGACCTTTTAATGGTCGTTTTGCGTGTCCGGCCTCCGCGATAGGTGAATCGTAAAAAAACTATTAACGATATTATGTATCCACACATACCTAATATAGGTATAATATGTTGTATTCTATTACACGATAAATTATTTTTCATTGTATATTTTCGACCGTTTTATTTATTTATTTTTTTTTTTTACGAATATTATTTGGTAACGCGAAACGCTTCTACGCAAACCGTGAAAACTTATTGTGACAACATGATATTGTAACAACCGGTCGAAATGTATAAACACAATTTGTTTACGTAGGTATCTATTATCCATACTTACTTAAGAAATATCTCAAAAAATAATTATAAATGGTTAAAAAAAATCACATTATGCAATGTACAAAATGGCTATTTTGACAATTTCTAATTAGTGGAAAAATACATAGTTAATTTTTTCAGTGATTAAGGGATGAAAATAAAAATTTAATTTTTCTCTACATATGTGTCCCTCTCGCACAAAACTTGTTCTTAAAAAAAATGAATACTGATAGAGTTATTAGTACAAATAAAACACTGTAGGACACAATAATGTACCTGAAATATTTCAATTTTGATTGTCGTAATGTTCGATAACCAGCTTCCTATAATTTATATTAGGTATTTCAATATTGAATACCTAACAGATAATTGTTGTTGGGCGTGCTTTAATTAAAAACAATTTGAATATGGGTCTGATAATATTTATATAATATAAGATCACTGTAAGATCGCTGGACATATATTTATTTCCCTTTAAACACGTTCATGGCCTGAAAGATAACTAACTACTTCAACAATAATTCAATTTTGATACAACCAAACAGGATACCTATATTAATATATTGTTTGTAATAAATTTGACTGTTCGTTGTTTTCAAATATAGACAAAATATAAATTACGATGTATTACTTAAATCCGCAGGGGGTGCCCTTGTTTGAAATAAAATAAATACGTTATTAATAAAAATCGTACCACACACACATATATATATATATAGGTATATATTTTTTTTTAGTCAGTGAGTGGTTTAAAAGGACGGTACCTGTTTCTATCAAAAATACCCTCCTTTTTTCCACCAAAACCATAATATTTAGCTCACTATTGACTATTGATTCAATAAATGTTAAGCGATTGTTCATGCATCCCGGCACAGGTATATAATTATAATATACAATATATAGGTTAGAATATGTTATTACATAAGTTATATTATAAATTATATATGTGTTAATATTTTAATGCAAAGTTATGTTGACGCGATAGTTGTTCATACGTTTGCTTTAAGAACACCAAGTTTAATTTATGATTTGATTATCGAAATATTAGTAACGGTATATATACCTAGTGCTGTTTCTGTGTTATAGTAGTATGAAAGACTTAAGATTCGTTATAACTTAAAACATAGTGTATACGTATAATTATTTATATTGATTATATTACCTATATAGGTAGGTGAATTGGCAGATATATGAAAGAAATTAAAGTTTACGTGAAGTGCATACAAATGCTTAAAAATAAGGAAATTGAAAAATGCATGTTCATGATCTTGGTTCTCGCAGTTTTTTGGTCAATTTTTTTATTTTAGAGAATGATATTCACATTCGAAATTTCGGCATGATTGGGGTGCCTATAAAATAGTTGTGATGGTTTATCTAAACATAAATATTCGTACAATTGGTCCAATCATTAATGTTTCACGTTATCTGAATTTAAACATCAATATTTTTTGTCTATTTCGCTTTTGGTGGAAAAGAGCAAGGTACTAAATCTGGTTATCTAATCTACGTCATCTCCCCTAAGTCATTAAAGGAACCTTTGATCGAAAACTACTGTACATAAAGTAAGTTAGGAAAGTATATTTAAAACAATTTTGTCTGTTGGTTATATATATATATAATATAATGCTCTATTCAGGATACGATTGTTCCGCTTTCAGACATACCTACCATAGTGAAAAGACTCTCCAGAGTACGTTATAAATTAGCCACCGTCGTGCTTAAAGGTGTGAGATCAGCAGAATGTGGGGGGGGGAGTAATGTACGAAAGTAACGCATTTTCGTCGTCCAAACGGTTCAATCTTATACTAAATAGAACAATTTTACAATTTTATTCGAGTGCAGTAGAACAAAAACATAATTAGTTCTGCTTTGCAATAGTTGATAAGGCCTATTTGGAAACACCACTTAAAAAAAAAAAAAAAAAAACGCCTTGTGCAATACCTCGTGCTTTGAAATGACGTCAATTAATAATAATATTATGGGTATTTGTCGAGCTGAGGTGGTGTGGAAAATTGCACACAGTTTTATTTTATTTTATTACCGTCAAAAGTATATTTTATTTATTTACGTTTTTTAATTGCTATTTATTGTTTTTTCCGTCCAATGTTATAAATTACGATTGGAATTACAATCAAGACTGAAACGGAGTTAGCAATTTTTGAGGGACAGTATCAGAGCAACGAATACAAACGCGAAGTTACTACGTTTTGCGGTTTTGTCTACCCGAGTGGTAACTAAAATAGGTACTTGTTTGTTATCGTCCTGTTAAACAATAAGAAAAATAAAAGTATACATAGTTTAATTGTATATTATTATAGGAAAAATGTAAAAAAAAATATTATTGTATTTAAAAATGTAAAATATTGTTATTAAATGAGTAACGTTTGAAAACGACTACGCGAGTGTACTCTATTTTTAACAATAACAGTGACCATGTAAAGATGAGGCGTTATAAATACGATGACATAAAACGGTGTACAAAAAAAAGGTCATTAAATTGGGTAAAAAAAAAAAAAAAATGTTATTATCATTTATTTCCCATCGACGGCACGTGGCGTACCTATAGAACTTTTATTTCCGAGCATGTATAAAATGCACACATAGACTCGGTGGGCGATACCAAAATTCATGATACGCTGCATTGAACGTGACAAATGTGTATTTTGTATTGTTGTGGGTACGTGGTCAATATATTATTTAACACTAACATAACCATAAAATAATCGGAAAATAACATAAAATATGATATATGACGCACTCCTTATCTACCAGTAAAAATTGTTTACTCGGGAAAATACAACGTATGAGACATAGTGGTGATAATATTTTGTACGTACGCGAGAATAGTGTCCTGCACTAAGTATTATATTTAACACCGTGAACCAGTGTAGACGTGCATGTAGGTACTGGCTGGCTAACCGATCAAATGACATCCAGTGTGTTGTGCGATTTATCCAGTCGATAAAATTCATCACTATATTAAAATATGATGCACGTTATTATGAATCGGAGATACGGCATCGATAAGTTGCTTTTACTAATATTTATCGTTTTGGATTTTCACGTTTTAGCCAGTGTAGCGGACGATGATCGAATACAGAATGTTACTGTTTCGCTGTATTCACATAATAAAACCGGTAAGATCTACGCAAATCCATGATATGAACGCGTAATTCAACGTATTATCATTTCTAATGATTTATTATCGAGTCCGGATTTTCTTATAAAATATCCTAAATTTAATGCTTAAGTTGCTAATAGTATTAGATTCTCGGCGGAGCGAGGAATATTTTGGTTTTACAATGATGTGTGCTCCTTTTTTTTATACGTCTGTGAGCAACTATTATAACAGAAATCTTGTTTTTCGTCAAAAATGAACAAATACCTCTTTTTTTGCAATTTGGATCTAGTTAGTGCGTTGAGGAGGTCTTTTTTAATTTTCCAAGTAGTTTTGCATAATAATTGGCAAAAACCGGAAAAAACTATCGAAAAAGTGGACAAATATTGACAATTTAACAAAAGGTTCATTATAAGTTGTACTTAGTGGTAAAAAAAAAAAGTAGGGTGGTATGTTTTATTTTTATTTTTTGATAATGGTTTTAAGATCAAATTTTATTGAAAATCGTAAATATTTACGATCTTTCAAATCATATATAAACGAACACAGTTTACAATGCAAATAATAGTGAGGTATATTATATAAAATATATTATATTAGATACCTATTATATTATTATAATAGATTGAATTTTAATTTCCATATAACTTACATGTCATTTACTAATAAATTACCTACAAGTTAATATTTGCTAGTAAATATTTAACAGTATTGGAAATCTATTTATTATTATTTTGTTGATACATTTGAGTTACCATTTCAGTTGTTTTAAAGGGTGGGCAAACAATTTAAGAAGCCAATTTTTTCCCACCATCAGGTCAATTGTTAAAAAAACTTTTCCTATATTTTTACCATAGAATTTTTCTAGAAAAAATATACTCATCAGTTCATCTTTCATGTATAAATTAATATCTAATTATTCAGCTTTTATTATTTTAAATTTTTTATACACTACTTATTTTTTGTACGCACAAATTTGATTAATATTTACCTATATTATAAAACTGATAAACACTAAAATTTATAATTTGGATATCTCGCTTCGCTCAGAATCCAAAATGAACAAATGGTTAGACAATTCTGTCGCATCGATACTGATTTGTGACTACCAGCTGAATAGATATAGAATATCACATCATGGGCGTCCCAAGGGAGGGCAGGACGGTGCACTTGCCCCCTTAGAATTTTAAAATTTGTTTATCTTGACATAATTTAAGTACACACACATAATGGCAATAAATTATTAGCCGGTACACGGTAATATATATTTTGCAATCCGCTCCTAGAAAAATGTCTGGGGACGCCCATGTATCACGTAATTTTTTTTTTTATTTTCAATTCTTATTCATTTTATTTTTGTCTTGCACAAGTTATTATTAATATATTATTATTTATTGTTTTTAGACATTTTTGACATCACTACGATTTACAGAATTACAAGTATGGATGTTTACAACGACAGTAATGGTTTGTTCAATATTATATGTTTTGTGTATTCGCGTGTTATACTGACAAATATTTATGTTTAAAAGCAGGATGAAGCAGTTAAAAAAAAAAAAACATGTAAAAAACCAAAAAAAAACGACCCAAAAGCTAGACAAAAGTGTGAGGCTAGAAATTAGCGGATTTGAATTTTAAAACAGATTTAATTTTTATATTCTAATTTTCTAGATATCGGTTGATATCTTGATTTTTGGTATTCGAAAAATCGAATATGTAGTTTGACACACTAATTATGACAGTTATTGTGCAATATATGTTATTTAACTATCAATATTTTAACGATAAAGCTAAATTTTAAAGGATACATCTTGAAACTTATAAAACTGGAAGAAAAGTATAAATTTGTTTTCAAAATTAGAATCCGTCAATCCTATGCCACATAATTTTGTCTGGCTTATAGTAGTCTAAAACGTGATATTTGTCTGTAAAAATAACTGTATATCTTCCTTTTAAATGGGTATCGAGCAGCATATTAGCGGAAAAGTATTATCATTAAGGTCATCCAAAGATAAAAAGTCTAATAATATTTAAATTTAACACAAATTACAAAAAAAAAAGAGCTGATACTGGGGATGGGAGCGGCCACTGTTGTAGGTGAGAAGTTTGGAAGGTAGGATACATAAGGTTATTTAATTTATATCTGTAAGTAACGATAAACCGTTATTTGACGAAAGACGATTCCGAGCGCACTTTAGTAATACATAATTTAAAGTGCCGTAATTTTTTGTACGGTTTTCGTTTAAATTTGATTTCAAAACGATTATTAAAAAAAAAAATGTCATCCGATGATTTTTGAGAATTTTACTATATTTAGGTAAGTCCAATATAAGTTGTATAACCAAGTTTCAAGTTTTTAGTGTATTTATAACCAAATTATAGCAAAAAAAAATTCTAAAATATCAAAAGTTTTGGCAATGATACCGTAAAAGAGTAAATCAAAAAGGCAACAAAAAAGGTGTTTTGTGATTTTTCGATTAAATCATTTTTTCTAGTAGAAAACGTCGTCCGTGTTTTTATGAAATAATGAAATCGTGAAATTGTACATTTTTCTACGTGTTTTCCCAATTAAGTGCTTTTATTTAAAAATGGCTTCGAAAATCAAAAAATGACCAGTGTAAAGTACCATCTAGGAAAAAACGTGTCGACAGTCTAGAACAAAAAAAAAAATAAAATAAACATTTTGGTAAAACCAACGCTAGGAATTTAAAATTAAAAACAAAATTTATCAATTAACAATTAAGTTTACAAGAAAAAAAATTCAATGAGACCTAAAGGAAAATTCTACAAGAGTATGGAGAGAGCGCCAAATTTGTATTAGAGTATTGGGTGATAAGACAGAAAAATAGTACAGATAAGTGTAACAAAGATGAACACGTTTAGGTAGATGAGTGAAATGATGAGCATTTATCATAAGTAAAGGAAAGACTATGTACATAAGAGGTATCTTAGACATGAATTAGATCGTAAGCAAAGCTGAAGAAAATATACCTGAGATGGTTTGGGGATATCGTGAAGAGAGAGGAATCAAAAGCAGTAAGAATTGCAATAAAAATAAACATAAGAGGAAAGAGGGGAAAGGAAAAATCATAAGGAGGTAATTGGATGCGATTTAAAATGATATGAGGAGATAGATGGGTATATACGAAGACGATGAATGGAATCGAGTGAAGTAAAAGTTTAGGACGAGGGTGGCTGACCCCAAATAGGATGAAGGCGAAGGAGAAGAATTTTACAACTCGATTATTTTTATAATTTTTGCATTGTAGAATATTATTTACAATTCTTTACAATTATTTATAATTCTCTACAAATCTATTGTTTATAAATTTGTAAATATTTAAACATGCTTATTGTTTTTATTAGTTGGATTCGCAGATGTAGATTTTTTAACTCGGCATGATGGACGTTATCAAATTGAAATACATTCAAGAACAAATGCCATCGCGATGCCTATAAACTTACGCAGTAATAAAGATTACCTAGCGAACAATATTTTGAAAATAAATATTCCAGAACTTTACGATGACAGGTTTATGCCCGATAACAATTGTGTAAACGTTACTTTTGAAGAACCAGGGAGTTGGAAAAAAATTAAAATCGAATCAACAGGTAAATATTACATTAAAATATGTTCATAAATTGGTATTTTTAAAATAAAATTATAATTCTCCAATATAATAAATAATGCATTACTTTGAAATACGGCTAATAAATATAATTTTATTTGTAATCTTGTTATAGGAAAGACATGTGATACCGATGAGTACTATAGCCCTAGTACTAAAGGACCAAAATTTGATATAGGTAATAATTATGACTTTGTCTAATAATAATAAAATACTTAAAAAGATATAGACATATTTCACACAATGAGTAGACCACTGTTGTAGGTGAGAAGTTAGGATATAGAGAGGAATTTAATCTATATCTGTATGCAATGATTCATTTTTGCTCACGGAAAATGATTCTGAGCGGATTTCGGTTATATATGTTTTGAAAATCCGTAATATTTACGATTTTCATTAAAATTTGATTTTAAGAATTTAATACAAAAAATAAACATAATACATTACACTTAATTTTTTTTGTTAGCCCCAAAGTACGACTTATAATATAAATCCCCAGCTAAATTGTTAAGTATTATTTTTTTGGTCTAACAATGTTATCCACAGAATATCTACCGAATGAAAATTACATAAAAGTCTCACAAAATTTAAATGTTTATAAATAGTTCAAAAATAGATAAAATGTTTTGAAAATTTTATCAAGTCTAGAACAGGTAAAAACTAATTTTCTGCCCAAATTTCAATTTTCTACAAATCTGTTTAACTAAATCAAAACAAAGCCGTTTGTGTCCCATTTTTTCCTATTTGTGATGAAATCAGCTGGGAAAATCTAAAAATAACCTCTCAGAAAAAGTGCTACACTTAAAAATTGGAGAAAAATTTCTGGTAGAAAAGTTGTTCACAGAACAAAAAAAAAAAATAGCAAATAATAAACATCATTGTAAATCCAATACATTCCTCGTCCGCTCAAAATATAAAATATAAAGATTGTATGCATAAATGTATTTCTGTTTACCTATTTTATTAAAACTATGAAACATGGGTCATAAATGGTAAGAAAAAAGACCGACATATTTTGCACGTGAGTGGACGATTGTTGTAGGTAGGAAGTTGGGGAGGTGGTAGAGGGGAAATTTAATGTAAACCTGTACGCAACGATTAACCATTACTAACGAAAAACGATTCTGCGCGTTATTCGGTTGATAGTGTTGCTTTGTCAACAATATATATTACATATATAATTCTCGTGCACGTGTTTGTGGTCGCAATCCTCCAAAACGGCTTGACCGATTTTCATGAAATTTTTCGTGTATTTTTGGTAGGTTTGAGAATAGATCATAAAGTATTTTTCAGCCTCCTGCTCCCACCCACTATTTTTTAATCGCGATTTTAGTATTTTCATTTATATATAGATATATACACGAGCAACACCAAATAATTTATCTTATAATATAATAAATATAATTTGTTTGTTGATTTGTGTTACCCTGGTACCAGGAATGAAAAAAATGGTAGTTAATTATTATAAGAAATTAGTCGAAAAATATCATGTGATCATCAAAATCAGTCCAGTCGTTCTTGAGTTATAAATGGTGTAACTATCCCAACTTTGTTTTATTTATGTAAGATTTTTGTTTATTCAAAGGTTGCCACGGAACAAAGAAAAACTATTTTAATTATTATTATTACTATTATTTACAATATAACACACTGTCCACCTATTTGTTTTCATTCAATCTTAACACGGCCAAAACCAAAAATGAATATGGGTAAAATAATAATACTACAAATTTTTACGGGCAACGCCGGGCGCGGGACAGCTAGTATATATATAAAATAGTAAAATAATTACATTATATTATACACGTATTTTTTTAATAATATTTATTTAATATTGTACCTTTTTTTCCGTTTTTTCTCCCTAAATTACCCCCTCAGAAAGAATACTTTCATTGTGAATTGGTGCAAAGTTGCTGGTAGAAAAATTGTTCACAGAAAAAAATTAAATAAAATAAACATCGTTGTGAAACAGTTTATGTTTAATTTTTTTTTTATTTCCAGAAAACATTAATACAGCTTGCTACGATGCTCTAGATTATATATACGGTAACCAACTATATTATAACGGAAATCAGACATTTTTCACTGTACATTGGGTGCCAAAGAAAAAACAAACATGTGTAGCAATTACTTATTTGCATAGGTTGAAATCTGATATGGAAATTATCATTAGTATATTATTTAATGTGAACAATACGTTAATAACTTCTCATAAGTTGGAAAAAGAAGTGAGTATTGACATAATTTACCATACTTATACACGTCATGTTGCCATAGTCTGCTATTCAATAATTAATGTTATTCATTGAATTCCTTTATTTTTTATTTTTTTAACTAACACCTTGGATTTTTGTTTGTTTATAACTAGGATGTTATAAAAACGTTGATAATTAGTAATATGACTCTTGTACAAGATCAAACGTATGAAATAACTTTAAAACGAACATTTGGTTCCATGCGCAATTATTACGGACTAAATTCATATTATGGAAATTGGTTCGGACTTTTACATATTAATGAATGCACCGAGAATATAGGTAATACTAATTTTAAAAATATTATTATGATTATAATAAGACTGCTGAGCTCATTGACACATTTTTAAATTTATCATGTTCCGAAGAAGTGCCAATATTAAGTATAACTTAATCAGATTAGGTATATGAGAAAACTAATACATGATTTTATGTGACATAATGGGTATACCTATACATATTTCAAATGCAAATCATAAAAATTTAATTATAATCGATTAATTGTTTAACTTAGTATACGCATAATTGCTATTTTCGATTTTACTCTAATCCGATTCCTATTATTGTTATTTTGTAATGAAAATATAAACAATTTTATGAATATAATATAAAAAACCATTATTGACTTAATAAAACCCATGTAAACATAATTATAAAAATTATAAAAATATATGGATATAAACATTAAATTTAAATCAAATCGTCTCATATAAAATGAAATATTGATATATTGTAATACTTTCTATAATTAGATATGTATAGTACCTTGTAGTATTATTTTCATTTATTTTGCAGACGAAGAAATTAAAACTGTTTCTTTGAAAGAAAATGGTAAACGCCCAAAGGCCTTCGGAGTTCTTCGTAATGGTAATATTAGTACAACTTATCAGTTTGTTTATAAATATAAATCGTTTAGCTACCTTATGAGTGAAACGCATTTAAAGAGCATCCTATAAAATGTTTGTAGTTTATCATTGAGGAAAAAGGAGTTAGTAGGATGCGGTACATAAAAAACAAACAAATTAAAAACAACCGATAAAATTTAGTTGGCAATTTAGACTCCGAAATCCGGATTTTCGGAATCCGTAGTCAACCGAAAATTATTACTGTATAGATTTTTTGTCTGTGAAAGGGTCTAATAGGGTAAAACACCCTATTAGAAACTTCAAGAAAACTTATACTTTTTTTAAAAATAAATTGTATCTTTCATGCGTCGTTTTTATGATACTTAACTAAATATAATATTTTGTAACAGAAGCAGCATGGTTCGAAACGGTAAATTCTACACAGGTTAACTCAACCATTTGTTTAAACGGAGGATACGAGCTATTCAATGAAACGCCTATATGTGTTTGTCCTCCTGGATTTACAGGGAAATTTTGTGAAAAAGGTAATTCAATTATCAAACCATGTGACAATTTTTTATGCTTCTCTAATTCATTTGGAATTTACATAACTATGCCATACGATAATAATATTCTTGTAAATATATAACGTCAAACCTTAGTTTTGAATATGATTATACACATAAAAATATATATCAGGATGCGGAGCAAATTTGTATGGAGCCGACTGTAAAGGTATTTGTTCCATGCACCCGAGTAAAATGTGCCGTGGCATTTTTATGTGCACACAATATTATGGATGCACGTGCCCAGCAGGATTAACCGGTCCGTTATGTAATAAAGGTAAATGACCGTATATAAACTGTACGGTGTTTCCGAATTGCGCACGGAAAATATAATATAGGTCGAGTTGCGTGCGCGATTTTTTTTTTTTTAAATTTTAGATTTTGCAAAAAAACTTTTCACTTGGAAATAATCTCATTTTTTGATTTTACGATTTAAAATTTAAAACAGTTTAAGAATATTTACGTAGACCAAGAGATTAAATTTTTAAATGAATACAATTTACACATTATTTCTGTGCGTGTTCATCTCTCAATATTGTTATTTAAAAATTTACTGTCATAAAAAAAACCGCACGCGCAATTAGGTTGCGACCAACATCGCCTTTTTTTTTTTTTTTTGGCATGCAATTCGAATGCATCAAAACTTTATAATAGGTATAACATTAATATTTGTTTAGACTGCGAATCGGGAACATACGGTGCTAATTGTGCAAATAACTGCTCATCGAACTGCCGGAACAATGTATGCGATCGATATACGGGAATGTGTTCTCAAGGATGTTCATCAGGATACGTTCTGCCGTATTGTTTAGAAAGTAAAATATATTTTTTGAGATCTTAACTGCAGAGAATATCGAAGCCTTACAAAGATGTTTATTTTACGCATAAAACACTTATTTAGTTAGTAAGAATTCTCCGAATTCTTTATATTGTATATTAATAGATGCGAACTTTTTCCTCGATGACGCTTTATTTGAAAAGTTTTTCTAAATAAAAAATTGATTTTCTACACATTTTTAAAAAACTAACAACAAATGGCAATGCAGTGGTTTCATTTTAATATTTCTAGGTTAACTTGATTCCACGGGGAAAAAGCATGCCTTATACTATAACCTTATAGATTCACTCAGAATCTTTTTTTGATTACAATGATTTTTCGTAGCAATTAGTGTATTAAATAAATTATCCTATATTCTATGCCTACCAAATATACAACTTACAGCAATGGACTATCGACTTATGGTGCGAACTGTGAAGTATATTTTGCCTTTTTTTTATTTTAAAATTGTTTATTTTATATTATTTTAAAATTGTACTCATTTCATTATGCTCGCCATTATTACAACAAAAACTATTCTGGGCTTGAATTGTTATTATTTTATTTAGGTACTTACAAATTAAATGTTTAATCATTGCATTTAAAAAACTTTCCTAAGATAACGGGAACGGGTGCAGTCATTGTTGTAAGTGTGAAGTTGAGAATGTAGGATACAGACGGGAATTTAATGTACATCTTTAAGCAAAAATATTAACCATTGCTAACGAAAAAACGATTCTGAGTGGAATTCTGTTGATAGTGTTGTTTAATATTGTACCTATTTACTCATTCTCCCGTTCTTCTTCCGTTTTTTTCGGTTTTTCCAGTATATTGAGAAAACTTTTGAAAAATCAAAAAATTACCTCCTTAAAATACCTCCCCAGTTAAATTACCTTTCGGAAAAAATGCTACTTTTGTAAATCAGAACAATATTTCTGGTAGAAAAGATAAAAAAGAAATAAACATCATTGTAAAACCATAAACCTTTTCACCCACTCATATAAAAACTTAATTAAATTGTACAACAATTAGTGAGCCATATGTCTGCAGTATTTTAAATTATTATAAATGAATTAGTGCATATATGTTGCAGAATTATTATAGTCATGTAGGTGATGCTAATTTAAATAATCAATATTACGCTCTCCGTACCGTATTTACCTAATTAGGTTTTTTAATGTCCAGAAATTCTGTTCAACTTCTTGTATCTCAACCGATTTTGTGTGTAATGATTTTTTTTTAAATCTTAGAAAAGTAACTAACAAATTCCGAGTATATTAGGGTACATAATACAGTTCGGAATATATTAATTGATGTAATATAAAAAAAATGTAACACTTGCAATTTTTCATATACTAAAAAAAATATATATATATTAAATAATTGTTCATACAATATAAATAATTTTAAGTTTTGTACTTTATTATTTTTTGCACTATGTTTAGAATATCCATATCTTGTTAAGCCGCCCACACTGCTTTCCAGCAAATACGAAGAACTAGAAATTAGTATAAATTTTCAATCGGACAATGTTAAAGGCGGAGATGGCATTACGAAACTCAAATATTATCAAATAGTTTACACAGTAAATATAAATATTCGTAATTTGTATTTTGAAACATAATTACTTGCCGTAATTTCAGATATTTAATTATAAGTGTAGTAAACTTAATAAAAGGACAGATTTAATTTTACTAAATGTAGAACATTGATTTTTCAATTCTGTAGAAAGAGCTAATAATTATTATATAAGAGACCGTCACAGTTTAATTTTCGGTAGCTATTTATTTTTCTAAACGGCTATGTAACAAAAGTATATACACGTAAAATAAACGAATATGGCTTTAAACTGGTTTTAAAGATAAAACACGTTATTCAATTTGTAGACGGCATCATTTGAAAGACAACCTCTTTAAATATTCGACTCATTATCAAAGGTATAAAAAATCATAATATTTAGAGGTTTTTTTTTTTAATAACTTCTTATAATTTATATTTTAAAAAAACGCCGAAGTTGTCTTCAAAATATTGCCATCAACAAATTATATAATAGGTGTTCTAAAACCAAATTTAAAATCATTATTAATAAAATAAATTAATATTTAATTTGATCAGTTTAATTAATTAATTATAATATATCTATTTTAAAGACAGGAGATTTGAGTCGCGTTATGACATTCAGGTCTAATTTCAAATTGATTACCGACAATAACAATGAAACTTCCGAAGTGTTAAGCGATTTAAAAGCAGATACTGAATATACAGTAGGTGTTCTATTAATAACTGCTGATGGAAATTTCAACGCTCAAGATATGGTGTACGGAAAATATAAGACATCCTGTATTCGTAAGTCTTTTCGATAAATCATTTGTAGCAGAATAGAAATTAAGGTTAGTATAAGCAGGACCATTGCTAGGGTACAAGCAAGTCATACGTTGCTTTACAGTGGCGTACAGTTTTAAAGAAATTGAAGCGGCAAAATGAAATTAATTATCCTAAAAAGAGAACTATACAATTTTCGTTTTAGGACTGAGAATAATTTACTACGGGCTGGGTATAATGTGATAATATTTGTATGTAAGATGTTTAACGTGAGCGCGCGGTGATCTATCCATCGATAGGATGACTTACGGCAGTAATGTCACAATACGTAATCAGCCGGATGCGAATGATGTAAGTATGTGATTGAATAAACTAGCAACGTTATACGTTGTAAGATTATTACAGTGTGTGTGAAAATGAGTTTTTGTGTGTGTTTGTGACCGTACGATTTGATTGTGATATAATATGTATGCATATATTATTGTGTCGATATAAACACGTATTATATGTATTACCGACGACTATTAGCTATCGTAAACAATTATTATTTTTTTATGCCGATTTATTCTCATTAATATCTTATTACGAAAATATGATAAGTATCACTTACCTAATTACCTTAAAGATCTGCTTGAAGTTCGCAAGTAGATCGTTGCTCAAGATATATGGAACAAGATATAAAAAGGGATTTAGTTATCGATAAATCGTTGGAATTTGTATGCTTCGTTAGATAATCAAAGATACGTTAATATCCTATGCTAAAGTTAAACTCTTATCACGGCAACCGAATGTTTAGCCTAACTATACAATTATATGTCATTCTGCTCCTATTCAGGCGTATGGATAATCAATAAGTGATCACAAACAACCGTATTTTATGTTTATGTTCGAGCCAGTCGGAAGTAATATGTGCCATGTATAAAAAAAACAAAATGGCAATTAATACAACTAATAGTTATTAAAGGTGAGGGACTGAAGAATAACGAAATACAACAGTTCGCCTATAACGGTATCTGCAACTGTTGTATTGGTTTTGAAGAATTTAGGTATGTTGAGAGTGAGCGAGCAAAATGTAAATGCTTCTGCTAAACGAACCCAAAGAAGTAAAGAAATTAGTGATACGTTTATGTCCTCCATGATCTACCACATTAACGACGCCCACTTAATAGTCACAATAGCTTAAAATAGGGTGCCTCTTTGTGGGTGACGCGTGTAGTTAATATTGTGAATTAAGGTGTAGTGCACTTTGGTGGCTACACTGATATTATTAACGATGGAACAGGTAATTTGTACAGTATCACCTTAATCGTATTTTTTATAATTACAACTTTACATATTATAGTTACTAAGTTGAGAAGAGCGGTGCTTGTTAAAATGTTGACACATTAAATTTTTCTAGTTTTCCTTTTATTATTATAATAATATTTATGTTTGCCTGTTTTTAAAGTAAGTTCTTAGGTACATTTTTATAGTTAAAAAGTAAGACAACTTTAATTTTTTATACCTACTAAAAATAAAACTTTTTAGTCACTATGAAAATATCACGAAATATATTCGTTGGTGGAGTAAATTGTTATGATATACATTTCAAATTATTATTGTTTAAAAAAAAAATTATAAGAAAAAAGTCAAACTATATTTCATAATAATAAATATCTATACCGAGACATAAATCAAAATAAACTTTACAGGTACTTATGTCCTATTATATTCCTATACAACAAATACAATTTTAATAAAATAAAAATGTCTTGTCATTCATAAGTCTTTTTCTATTAAATATAAAAATAATAATAAATTAATATAATTTATAATAAATACCTATATCAAGGTATAAAACAAAATATATTGTAATAAATATTGTACATTAATATCTATTATATTCTATTAGTAAACGAAAATAGCACTAGTAAACTATAACAACTTGCCTTTTTTTCGTACCAAATTTATTTATTGGAAAAGTAATTGAAACTGCTAAGTTCTACTCGTATTACCAGAATCACTCAATGTAGAATATAATGTAATGATGTATAATAATTTTGTCTTATATTGGTTCGTTGTAATTAAGAAAGAAATCTACCAAATAATTTACTTTTTATAAGAATAAACAGAAAATGATCCATTATTCTTTACACTGATAAAATATACAGAATATTATAACAAAACACATGGCAATAATGAAAATTAAATTAGTTTTTTCAGCCTCCACAGTGTTCCATAAATAAAAGTACCTACAAAATATTTCTACTGTAACAATTAACCCGCATAACAATTACCCCGCATTCCCTTATGTTTAAATTTAACTAAAAATTACGAAAACTCAAACATTGATATTTACTTGTCATTTATCTAAAAAGTGTTTTTAATTTTTTTTTAAGAACCTCAAAACACAAATTATCATATTAAATTGATAACTGAACAAAAAAGCGTCAAAATATTATGGAATCAAGTAAGTCAACAAATTATGTATATTTTTATATCAATTAAAATATAACATTTAGATTTGATATAATTAGATATATATTACATACCTATGTGTAATATAATTATGAATGATCATTCAAATATAATATTCTATAGGTGTAGCCAAAAACAAAAAGCCATACGAAAATGAACTAATAATAATACTATAATTTACAGATAACTACCAAACGTTTAGAATGCAATATTGTCAAATATGTATTGACGTTAACTCTAAATAAATCACAAAATGAAGTTCCGGGTACTAAAGAAATAATATCAAGTTCAAAAAGTTTTCATCGTATAGATGACCTCTATCCTGGCTACCCATATAACATAAAAATGAATCCTGAAACGTCTATGGGCTCTTTACAACCTTCACCAACATATTCGTTTACTCTCCCGATAACAGGTGATTATTTAAGTTTATTATGCTATCGGTATAATTATACTGATGTATAAAATTTTATAGATGATGATATAAAAATAAACAACATTTTCACGACCACTGAAGGAGGAAATATTAAAGTATCTTGGCAATTGGAAAACTCTTATCAACATGAATCTATTTATGAACCAGTTACCTATGTTGTTAGATACAAAGTAATTTATTTAACTGGATGCCTACCTAGTTGAACCCAAAATTGAAATAACATTATTTATTAGTTATTATATTATAAACGAAATTACATTATTACAGATTAATCGAATCCTTAGTTGTTGTTTGAAACCAATAAAACAAAACTGGACATCTGTTACGGTTTTCAATCGAACCGAATTTGAAATAACTAATGCGATACCTAATTCTCAGTACAGTATACAAGTCGGAGTCGCTGTTAAAAAAGACATAAATTCTGTAAAATACGAAAAAATGGTGTTTACATTGACACCAGAATCATGTAAAATTCTATCCAATTCAGATTGTGTGTAAATTTGTAATGATTATTTATTTATGTTTTTCTTTTAGATCCACTAATAGAACCCGTTATTGATCCTTTTAATCCACCACGTGTAACAAACAGTTCGGTATTCGTTAAATGGAGAATCAATCACAGCGACTTTAATTCTAGCGATAACTGCATAAAATTGAACGGGTTTATTTCGAATTTCTACGTCGAATTACTGGTAAAAATCCAAGTTAAATTAATTTTTTATTAATTTATGAAAAAAGGAAATATTTATTTTTATTTTTCTGTAGGATACGAAGGATAACCTATTACAAATAAGAGAAACTAAAGAAAACCATATTCTTTTCGACGATCTAAATTTAAATTCTTCATATGAACTGAAAGTATTCATACAAACAAACGTTGGTTATAATCCTGAACATTTTCTATTTATAAAAGTCAATAGTGAGTTCAAAAGGAGTTTTTATTTTTCTAAATATCTTATTAATATCTTATTATAGTTATATATGTTACTGTTAACTTAATTATTTTTTTTGTAAATATATACATATTTACATAATAATTAGTTATTTTATATTCAAATGTTTGGTTAGCATAATAAATTGCTTAAAATTTCGTAAAATTCACTATATCAACTAATGACTATATAAACTAACCAAAAACTCTGATAAACGTTATAAATATATAATTCTAACCAATTATAATTTATAGATAGTTGTCAGTATTATTTGGTCAGTATGATAAGGTTAGGTAGATTAGGTTCAGTGAACGGAAAATGTTGATCTTAAAAGTGTGTGACTTCATGATTATTAGTAGACACTATTGTAAACTTAAAATCTGAAGAAGAACTTAAATCTTACGGCAGAGAATGCAAGTGATACACACAATGAAAAAGTGGTTCAAAATCAGAGGGATTAGACATTCTAATTCCTGAGTTCGACAGAGTAAAGTGTGACTCCAGAAATACAAGTATTCTCGTATTCTTGGAATTATTTTAGAAGTAGATGAGGAAAAAGACTTGTATAAGATTGGTACCAAAGAAGGACTTTTGGCACAAACATATTCCAGAAACCAATAAAATATTTGTCAATAAAAGTTCATATGTAAAGAGGATATTCCTGATGTAACGGTGTCGTAAAAAAAATTAAATTTTATACGACTCGAAATTTCATTATAGTTTATCTGTTCTAATAAATAATTAATAATAATATAATACATTTATTTAACTTATTTTATTCTATTAACAATTTTCAGAGTTTTGTCAGTAGCAATTAAATACACCAACCTAATTTGATTGGTTGATTTGTATAATAAACAATTACAGTGTTGAATTACATGAAATGTATCAAATTATGTATAAGAATTAGATATTATGTAAAATAACTAGTTAATCTGATAATATGCACATCTTTCTTAGTTTCGGCCCTTTAAGACCATACTGCTTAACACAAACTTTGCCCCCTGTCCCTGACTTCGCTGCTTCTCTCCATCTGGTATGAGGTTTTATTATTTTAATGACTTTCTTCACGAAATCTTCCCATCTTAGTTTAGGTCTACTTAGCGGTCTTTTCCCTATAGGGTCTTCTTCAATGACTTACCTAACACTCTTTTTACGCCACGCATGATCTGCCCACCTTAGTCTTTGTTTGGCAATCTCTCTAACTATATTCAGCTTCTGAATAAGTATTTGGAGTTTATCATCATGTAGTTTTCTCCATTCATTAGACTTTCCGTAGAACTTTTCTTTCAAATATCATTTGTCATTGATTCTTCCGTTTTTCTCAGTGCCCACATTTCCGAACCGTATAGAACAATTTTATTGATCTTATTAGTGTCATAAATATTTTAATTTTTAGGTTTCCAGATAAAGTCTTCGATTTCAGGACTTTTTCTGACCCATAATGATAAAATTCTTTATTCGATTTTTGTATCCTTGATGACACTTCTGTCTTAACCATCGATACCCTTGATTATAATCGATCCCAGATTGTGATACTTTTTTGAAACTGTGCACTCCTATTTCAATATATGTTCTTGTTCACAATTCCTATTTCTTCATCTAGCCACTAGATAATGTGCACATAGTATTATTAAATTACCCAAGCATTTTAGGTATTTTGTAATATGTATATGTAATATACATTCTACACACTTTATCACAGTAATTAACAGTAACATATATATTATACATGTATATAAAATTACATTTGAGGCTAGTAAAATATTAAATGGTACTTACTACATGAACGGTATAGACTTACTTGTAGATAGATTATATAATTCTCGTATATTGGACATTGATAGCCGAATTGTTGGATATATATTTTTTAACAGTTTTCATGTTGTATTTATTTACTTATTTATTTATTAAATCACCTTCAAAAATACATAAATAATTTCATTACACATAGAGAATAAATTGAACACAATTTCTCAATTCACACGAAATTAAGGTGATCCTGTTCCAAAAAGCAAGTATGTAGAAGGGTACAACGAAAAAAAAATTATACGTTCAAGTTGTGAATGAGTGAATTATAGAAACCATATTAAATATATAATAATTAATAATTTAATAAAACTATATGTTATAATAATGTCTGTTTAATTTTACACAGGTTATTTAGATTTGACGCCAATAAAAAATTTAATGGTTTATAAAAAAAGTCAAAAGTATCGTATGGTAGGACTTCGATGGAGCTATCTGAATAAGAATTCATCTTTCGACGGATTTTTAACCGAATTAAATGGAAACGATTCTGAAAACACAGATAGTGTGTCGATTATTCCCCCAGAAAAATGTTCTGCTTGGCCAGAGTACTACTGTTATACACTTTATAATTTGGACCCCAGTATACAATATAAATATGCAGTATGTATTGAATATTATAAAATAAAAATATTTTAATAAAAACCTTCTTGTTTTTTTGTATTTCATTAGATTAAACCCATGTATTCGGGTATTTCTGAAGGTTCGGATGCGTCTTCAATTTCTTTCAACTGCATTGATAATAATGGTAATAATTAAGTAATATTAATAGTAGTAAGTAATAATTATAGTAATAATTGTGATTGTTATCAAAAACTTATTAAGTCTATCTTAACTTGGTTTTCATTTATTAAATAATATACCAAAAATAAAAAACTGTAAACTTTGTGGTGTAGACGGTAAATATAAATTGTACCCAACCATGAATAATCTTTCAAGCCAATGAAGAGTAATATTTTTATAAGCATTGCGCGTGGACTTATTTTAAAATATTACCTCACTAAAAAGTATAGCATTTTAAATATTTCCTTTTTTAAATAACTACAAATACCTATTTGTCTATTTTGTCAGTTTATATTTTACCAAAACAATAAGAAAATATTGGTTTTTTAAATTTTATCATGAGCTTTCAAACTAAATTTTACTTGAATGCAATAGTTTAAGTTTTATCTACGAAGCATAATTTTGCTTTTATAGTAGCACAGATTATAATATGCGATCGTAACAAAATTATCACTCACTAGTTTATTATTATTCTATTAGTGCCCGGAGCTCCAACAAATTTACGCAGTGTTGATATTGGGAAAACCTATGTGACCCTCCAGTGGGATATCCCATGGGTATTCAATGGTATATTGGCAATGTTTGCTATAGACGGAAAGGAAATACCAGCTGAGCATATGGACACGATTAATCCTCAAATAATTGATGTAATAAAAGTTCCATTTAAAAACGAAGTTCCTTCTTATAATTATAACGTTAGTAAAATGCATTTTTGCTTTTTCAATTAATAAAACCGAATATTCTTGACTGATGGTTAATATAATATTTGTATACAGCTTACAGGACTAAAACCAGGTTCAACTTATTCAATCGGAGTGTTTTCTGTTATCACATCTGAAATTCGACTTAGCTCTGCAGCTAAAGTGATAATAACAACGAACAGCGTATTATAAGAATTTGGATACTGATGACATAAGTAGTTATTAAAAATAATTATTTTTAGTTGTTATTGCATTATTGTAATTTTATTAACTCTAGTACGTCACATGATATATTTTAATAATTTTTTTTTCATGTTTTGAACACACTAATTATACTGTATTTTATTATATTCTGTATTTAAAAATTTTATCAGCTTTACCTTACGTAATTAATATTATTATACTACATCGTATCATAAAAAAATGTGTGGTTGTATCAATTTTATACTTATCCCCTACACCGTGCCAATATATAATACTCTCCTCGCCCTTTATTTGTCAAATAAAAATAAAATGTGTTTCTATGATAAAAATAATAATTTTAACTTAAAATTTAAAAATACTGAGATCTTGGACTTGGGCTTTATTTCTGAATAATTGAGGGAAACCGCACTTGGCGTTGATACGAGGATACAATGAACGCTTTAATATTTCGAGCTTATCAATTTATTTCGTTACATCTGATAGCTTAGTACAGTAATGACCGGATGTCTTACTGTAAACGAGTTTGTTTTTTATAGAGGTAACTCAACCAAGGATACCATAGGTAATGTCCTGGACCTGACTTCCTGGGCCAATAGGGGCCCTTATCGATAACAGGAGTGCCTTGGGACCAAGTGGACGTCTCCCTGAGCCACGAGGTTTTTTCTTACTTGGTGAATATCCTGCGCTACTACATGAAGGACCGCAATTTGACCATTCGTTTTTAGGAAGTATTCAGCTGGGTTAAATTATAATACTTAAAGTTTCTTCTTAAAACCTTGATTGTCAATGATAATTATCATTATTTATGATAATTAATAATTAATGATATTTATCATGCAACCTTCCTTTGCATATTTTTCAATTTCTTTTTTTATTTTGTTCAATCAATACTGTTTACAGGAAAAATTACAAAACAATTTTTGATTAACCCTTATTAGATATAAATTCTGAGCGGAGCAAGAAGAGTGTGTATTAGTTTATTTTTTTTTCTATAAATAACTTTTTTACCAGTGATTTTGCTACGATTTTCAATTATAGCACTTTTTCTGAAAGGAAATCTAAATGGGATGGTACTTCAAGGCGGTCCTAATTTTATCGTCCTAGTTCTTTTCATAATAAATTGGAAAATTCAGAAAAAACATTGTAAAACCAGAGAAAAAACGTTTTTGTTGATTCAGTTAAAAAAATTCGCAGAGAATTGAAATTATTAATATATATATATATATTAATAACAACTTCTACGACATCATCTGAAGCCGAAAGATGTTTTTCGACACTATATGTATAAAATTTCTTTTTTCTAAATGGTATTAATTTGGTTAATTAATAATCTTTTATATTCATTCATAATTGTACTCAATAATTTAAAAAACAATTTTTCATCGCCCTCCCACTTTAAAAGCCCACGAGCCGCCACTGATTACACTAGGTTAAAAACACTTAAATTACATCTCTGATAATAGGTACGTAACATAGGTATGATGTATAATTATTAAAAGAAAATAACTATCAGTAGGAATGATACAATTTTCTAGAATATTATCAATTATCATATTATATTTATTTATGACAACCAAATTCTAAAAAATTTAATTTCACATCCTATAACGCAACAAAATAAACTATTTTTAAAATACATGTTTAAATAACATTAACGTTTCATGGTATCCTGGAACTGTTGGTTTTTTCGGTTTCAATTGTTGCAACATTTTTAGAAGTCGAAGAATTAAACACTGAAGTTTCATGTGACTTTTGTTGAATCATTAGATGTCGAATTCAAATCTATTTGTATATAAAGTTATATATATATATATATATATATCCATAATATAATTATTTCAATTTTTCATTTTCAAGTAATTAAGTAAATATAATTATCACGTTGATGGACTGTATGATAATAATACTGCTATAGAAATAATGATGAATTTTGATGTCTTGAGATAAAGTAAAATATCATAATCCTAAAATTATAAATATCTAGGTAATAAATAAAAAATTTAATTTTACTAAATAAGAATCTAAAAAAGATAGTTAACTATATACAGAGTATCCTACAGTTTATCTAAAATTTTTAGAATATTATCTTACACAAAATGGCTATTTTGAACATTTTGAAAATTGATAATATAAAATAATTTTTTTCAATAATTCAGAGATGAAAATAAAAATTTAATTTATCTCTACATATGTGTTCCTCTCGCACAAAAACCGATTAAAAAAAAATATATTGACAGAATTATTAGCATAAGGATGATACTATAGGACATTCTGTGTATAGTTAACTACTTTTTTTAAATTCTTATTTAATAAAATTCAATTTTTTATTTATTACCTAGATATTTAGAATTTTGGGATTATTATATTTTACTCTTAATCTTAAGACGTAAGATAATGCATAAATCTTTAATTTATGCTATTGTTATATAATGTGTTCAATCCATTTAAATTGAAAATCTATATGTATTTTAAACTTTATTCAACTTTCAATTTCACTATTTACACCAATTACAAATAATTGGTTTATTTTATTACCCGTATTTTTCTCTTTTTTTACTCATAAACGCTTAAATTATATAGTCGTATAGTTATATTATAACACCATCTTGAAAAATTAGAGTAGGTAATAAATATTAAAATAGAATAGCTTCTAATATTTAAATTTTTTAAATCTATCCCCACAAACCATAATATAAACTATACGCTATGGAATATTAATAATTAAATATATGTTTAAGTAGGTATACAATTTACTGTTTATTCTCTAGTTGTATTTATTCATTGGTATTTGTTGTAATAGTTATACTTGTCGGAACACTTTGCAATAATGTTTTAGCCTGGGACATCACTCCAAATGTATAATTAGATCCAGGCTTTAGATTCATTATCTATAAAACAAATTCAAAGTTCAATAACAGCAGGTAGGAATAATTAAAATCATAATATCAACAGCTCTCAAATTGAAGGGGGACTCCGTAATTTAACTAATTTTCTAAACGTTTTAATGTATGGTATCTCTGCTATTTGTTTTAAGAAGCACGCATGAAACGGTATATATTTTTGTATTTTCATCAAAATGTGTTTTCATTAAAATTTGAGTTTTTAACGTTTATAAAAAAAATAATCCCTCATGGCAAAGGACGTTATAATTATTACCCTTTTTTAATTTTTTCAATCCGAACACTGAATACCAATTTAAAACAAAAAAATAACTCTCTATGTAATTAATATTAAAATTAAAATTAATTTAATGTCTATGATAAAAACCATATTCTCCTGATTTATTAAGATAATGAGAAAAAATAAAGTATAATTATTAAATAATATAATACTTTTGATTATTTGTAAATAGATATTCAGTATTATATAATTTTTAGTTTCTTCAAACTACAATTTATAGTATTAGGAATTTTCAATAATTGGCGTAGAAAGTATCTATATGTTAAGAATCTTAACGGGAGAAATCATTGAGTGTGTAGGAAAAGTATTTAATAAATACGAAAGACTTATGATTAAATATAATTATAAATAATTGATTGGGTAATACTATTTATTATGCTCGTAGGTAAACACAGAGTGTATAAGCGTGCTTCCCTATTTTTTTTTTTGTTAAATTTTACATATTTTATTCAAATTCTGTTTTTTGAAATTTTCAAGTGTAGTTAAAGCCGATATTTTCGAATACTTAGATTTTTCACAACCTTTAAGTAGTATCCTGAGGAGTGACCAACTTGATTTTCAAACGAGAACCTATATTAAAAATTCCATAAATAGACGGAGTATTACTTTAAATAGATTTTGGTGTCAACATTTTTGATTTCTGTCAATACGTTAACGAGATATTTCACTTTTAAGTTTAGGTAGGGGGAGAGTAGTGGAGTACTAATGAAATGCTACTCACCGTGCCACCACACAAATGATACTCTACTTCTCTCTTCATATCTCATCTTAAAGTGAAATATATCGTTAACAGGTAGACGGAAATCAAAAATGTTAATATCAAAATTTATCTAAATCAATACTCCATCTATTTATGGAATTTTTAATATAGGTTTTTATTTGAAAAACCAAAGTTGGTATCACCACCGGATATTTCCCTATATGTTGTGAGAAATCTAATTATTTGAAAATATCGGTTTTGACTACATTTAAAAAAAAAATAAGAATTTGAATATAATATGTAAAATTTAATCGAAAAAGTTAGGTGAGCACGGCTAGCCAATTATCCTATATGTTTTTTTTTTATAAAAAAACTATATTTTTATAAAAAATATTAAGTAACGATTATTTTTACTAAATTTATCTCTACACGTTGTATGGACAATATTAGGAGGAGATTGAGAAAAATCTAAAAGTATCAGACATCAAAGCTTGTAGTTGAATGGCGATAATATATAAATAAAAATAATATCTTTCTTATATTATTTTTGATTACCGTATAGCTATATGTAGGCGTTTCACCAGTAAATTTTTCTTCGAATTCTTTAATTTCAACATCATCTGAAGATAATATTTCTTCCGCGGTAATAATGAACTTTTTCAATCCACTATTTAATACCCATGGAATATCCCATTGTAGAGTAACAGTATCGTTTTTAACATCTCTAGTTCTGAGATTTTTTGGAGGCTCGGGTATTTCTAAATATGAAAATTTACAATTAATATAAATTTTATACTATGATTATTCTGTTTAAGTATTTTTAATGTTACAATCAGAAGTCGTAAGTTCATGCATTTGTCTGTTTGTTTTTTTTTAGTACATAAGAAAACATGTTACCTAAGTAATGTACGAATTCGTTTCAAAACAACATAGTAACGAAAATATAATGTTTAAGTTAGTACTCGTACTGGACTGGATACGACCTAACCAAACCTAAGTGGTAAAATTAGTTGCCAATATCCAAAATATTTTTTTAGTGACCGATACTAAACGAAGTTATTTTTAATAATTATATTTATGTAAAATATTAATTAAAATTATTTTTAATCAAGTTTACAACTTTATTGATAAGACCCCTAGTAACCTCATTTAATAATAATGTGCGTTATTTTGTGATAAACTCTCATAGCCTATTCATTCTTATATATACTAGATTACATATTTTACAATTTTTACGTTTCTTACGTTTTTTAGTGCATGAACTTACCAGTCCTGCATGACTATCATGGTATTTAACTTACCTTTAACGTTAGCGTCAAATGAAATAGACACAAATTCACCATGAGGATAAACTGCTACAATAGGTCTTACCTAATTAAAAACAAATAAATAGGTACATTTTACATAAGTTAAGCAATTCATTTTTAGTTAAAAAAATTAATTATTTAGAAATAATATTGTATTATGGGTACTTTAAGTATGTAATGTTCACTCGCAGTTGTACTAATATTCTTATTATTAAATGTGTGACAGTAATATTCTGGCCAAGCAGAACACTTCGTTGCGTTATTTATAGTTTCATGCATTAGTTTTTCATTATTGGGTGTGACTAAAACCACATCTAAAATTGTGTTTTCTTTAGTACATTTCCAACGAATTCCTATCATATGATTCTTTATATTCGTTTTATAAACCATTAGATCATTAATTGACGTCAAATCTAATTATTTGTCAAAATATATAATATGTTAGTTTCATATACGTAGACAAATAATATAATTATGACAGTTTGGTAACTCACTATTAATCTCAAAATTAAATTTCAAAAATGTATCCGGGTTGAAGCCGAAATGTGTTTTTATAAAAACTTTCATTTCATATGACGTATTTTGGTTGAGATTATCAAAACAAATTTTTGTTTTTTTTGTTTCCATTGTTTGATTGATTCCAGTCTTTATGTCCTACGATAAAATAACACAATTTTATATATTTAAGTAAATAATTAGTATGGTAATTTGAATAAAAGATACCTTTAATTCGATATAGTAATTTAAAAAGAATCCGTTTAGGTCTTTACAGTTTTTGGATACATCATCCAATTCAAAATTTACCGAATTATTTGTCACATAAATTGATTCATTGTTAATCAATTGAGGCTTTGTCTTTGGATCTAATAAGAAAAAATATATTGTATCATAATCCAAATTTTGTAATAAATATAGATCTTTGAATGAATTAGATAAAATTTTACATGTTGATTCTGTATATAAATACACCATATTGTCTTGTTGAATATTATCGTTTTCATCATCAAAAATTCTAATTTGTAGACTGTATTGAGAATTTGGTACTGTATCTTTTATTTCATAGTTTTTTTCGTTGATAATTTTCTTAGTCCATTCACTTTCTTTTATATCTTCCAAAGAACAACTTAATATACTTTTGAGCTAAAAATGTTGTTTTATTCACATACTTATAAAATAATACAGAAATACGTGGGAGACTGTATCATGTAGCGATTTAGGACAAATAGATTATGTTAATTTATACATTACAGTGCGACAAATAGGCGAAAGAGCAGAAGAAAAGGCACGTATACATATTGTCATATTATATTAATAGCTGAACGAGAATGTATGTACCTATCAGGTATCTACACACTCGTATAAGCTAATGTATTTATAAATCTTAATAAATTACTTTGTATTTAATAATAACTGGTTTTTCAACTGAAGTATTGTAGGAATTCAAAGATTCCAAATCCCATGATACTTTAATCGAACTATTTTTGATGGTAGTGACAATATCTTTTATTTTAACGTCTTGGTTTACATAAAAATTAAATTGATCTTATTATTAATACTTCATTTAAAATTAAAATTAATATTTACTTACCCATCATTGACGGATTAACAATTGTTTTGGACATTGAATTTAAGTACCCCTTAGACGTTTTAGGTGTCATTGTTATTGTATAGTTATAACCCGGATATTGATATCGATGATTTATTATGTAACTATTGATTGAACTTGGTATTATTTCTTGTATAGAGGAAATTTCTTTTTCTGATTGATATAAAGTTAACGTTAAAACATATTGTTGAACTTTGCAATCTAATTTTTCAGTATGTATCTGTAAATTCAAAATGTTTATGAAGGTAAGTAATAGACAATTGTTATTTAAGCAGTTTGACCATATTTAAAAGTAAATTATTTTATTGTACTTATACAAGATTTTCCAAATTCATGTTACAGTCAAATTATCAATGAAAATACTTTTTTTTAAATAAATTTCTTGAGGAATATTTCATCAACGGGTTGACAAGAATCAAAAGAGTCAACACCAAAATATATTCAAACTCTTCTTCTTATCTTGTCCGGTGTTGGAATTATGTTATGTTTATTAATTTCACACAATTTCGATAAAAGCAAAAAAAAATAAATTAAATATTGTAGATATTTTGTTTGAGCATGTAGTATGGTCTTTTCGTTAGCTAAAGCCAAGTCATCTATTGTGCATTCTGGTGGAACTAGGGCGTACACTGGTGAAATTGTTCATACGATTGGATTTCAATACCAGCTTCATAACAGGAAAAATATCGCGAAATAAATCTAATCAAAACCGATAGTAAAATTTCCAGGCATTCAAATTCAAATACCCCATTTCAGGGCCACCTTCCTCAGAAATTAATATTTAAACTAAAACCACATCTATTTGCGGAATATAGGTTGTTATTTGAAAATCAAAAATTGATCGTGGTTTCACTTCCATAAAAAAGGGCGAACAAATAAGACTGATATAACATTTTAAAAAGTTTTTACATAGGTAAATTTAAAAAGAAAAAAAAATAAGTACTTCATGGAAAATTTGACTGTAAAATTAGATTTGACAGATCCTTTATATTTTAAGTAACATTGTAAAAGAGTGAATTAACTATAAATTATACGAGTACAAGATTTCAATAATAATTTATTATACTTACATTATTCCACGTTATGTTGGTATAAGTTTCTTTTTTTATTGTTGTAATGGTATAATCATTTGTATAGGGTTCTGTAAAGAAAAATCAGTTTTTATTGTAGAATATTATAGTTATATAATACCAAACATTTCATTATTATTTTATAATTTGTGTCATCAATGCAAGATGAAATATTGAAAATATTATTTTAAAATATGTAGGCAATAAATATATTAAACATCGATTGTAATGTGTTCTGTATAAAATAATTATTAATGTATATACTTATAAATTAGATAGCCACAACAATTTACATGGATACGATGTTTGCATGAACATTAGAAAGTAGAAGGGTAGATTTTTATGGTTTTTAGAGATAATTTTAAATGTAGCTATTATAACATTTTAAGGCGTTCTCCACTCTAACTGATTATGTAAATTTCAAATATATTAATTAATATGTAATATGTAATATATAATATATATTAATATTATAAATAATATGCTTAAAATTAGGGCCCAGATTTAAATACATTTAAAATATACAACAAAGTGATTAAAAATGGCAAAATATCCTTAACAATATGTATACAGTAAAAATACTAAAGGGTTTAAAAGTCCTCTTCTAACGAATATAATTTATTAAATTAAAATTTCTAACACTATTAAACTAGAGGAAGGACATTTAAACTTCTTTACCTATTTTTTTTTTTTTTTAGATGTCGAGCGTAGCAAGAGAGCTTTTGGTTTTACTAAGATGTTTAGTTTTTTTTTTCTTTCTATCTTGGTTCTAGTCTGTGGACACGTTTTTTCACGATTTTTACGTGTAATGACTTTTTTGAAAACTCAAGTTGCCTAAATTGTACTTTAAACAAGTTATTTTTTGATTTTCGATACCATTAATCAAATAAAAACACTTAATTGGGAAAAAACGTAGGAAACGTACAATATCAAGACTTCATTATTTTATAAAATCACGGACGACGTTTTTTACCAAAAAATATCATTTAAACGAAAAATCACATTTTATCTTTAAGCTTATGCAAATTACTTACGTTTACACGATGTTTTATATGTATCATATGTTATATCTGCATCGTTAAAATTTCCATCATTAGCTAAAATCAAAACACCAACTTTATATGACGTGTCTGGTGTTAAGTCATTTAACGTTTCTGTGACAGTACTAACATTTTCGATTATTTCTTTAAACTCAGATTTTAAAAATGTTTCTTCATTTAATGGCTAAAAACAATAATAGGATTTAGGTATACATAAAATATAATATTATCAGCTGTCCCTCACGGCTTCAACCGTTCACAATATTAAACTTTAATTAGTAATTAACAGTGTCACCAAGGTCATCAATCATTTTAAATAATTCAACTTCTTCACTTCACCTTAATATGGGTTGTTTTTCTTTTCTTTAAAATAACAAGGTTTCGCGGGACAAGCTATTTTCAAATTTCTTCAAAACTGGTGAGCAAATTAACTATGAGAACGTAATCAACAAATGACAGAGTTACATTTCATAAAGTGAGTAGTTACAGCTAGTATAGCTATAGTAGTTCCAGTGACTTCAAAATTAGAACTCTATACATTTATTGGTGCAATTTAAGCCCAAATATTGGAGTGCTGAAATTATGTAATGCTCACTAACCCGAGCTTTACAGAGTAATACACATTACACACACCTTCAAATATCCAAATACTCAAAGTATTAAGTTAAAGTATTAAACGGTAATATCATTGTGTAACCATTTACCATTTTATTTATAACCGTAGTCNCAAGCTTTTCAAACGATTTCCGCTTGTGATTTTCTTATGGGATCGAGAGAGATAAACAATACTGGGGCGAGCTCTTACCAACATCGCCCGTAAGACGAAAACGAGCCATGTCTTGAACGTTACCCAGGGCAAACAAATTGCCACCAACTTACAAATGTACTAAACAACCTAAACGTCTCATAATAAATTGATTACTTTCACTCATCCAATTTTAAAAATTAAAAAATATTTGAACTTGTTCAAACTAGTCGATAGATCAATGGAGTGTATTTATAAGATTTGTATTACCAATAATAATGTTATATTATCATATTTTTCTATCGGCTGAGAAACATAGAAATACGAGTATATCAAGAAAATTTGACAAATTTGTATTTATTTATTTTTAATTTTTTTAATAACCTAAATTAGTTAAGAACAATGTTGTATAAAAGAAAAAATAAAGAAAAAAATTGGTTAATATGTTAAAAAGTCTGTTTTGTTAATTTTGTTATTCCTCTGATTTTAAGTAAACGATTTAATAGTATAATAGTTATTGAAATTCATTGAAATAATTGTTTAAAAACTTACTTTGTATAATAATTGATAATATTTCATTTTTATGTATCTATTTCCACCATTTATATTATTTGATTTAAAATTCAACTGTATTTGTATGGACTCATACTGGTTCAAAATTTGTGTTGGTGGTTTAATTAAGTATGGGTATTCTAAAAAGTCAAAACATTATATTTAATGTATATTATAATTTTCACCCCCCCCCCTCTTCTGAATTAAGTAACAAACTAATAACTAACTATAGAATAGTCTTTATTTTTCAAATTTCAGATAAAATAATTTTTCCAGTAAGTTAAAATCGAATATTCTTGGTATGGTTAATATTTTATGTTTAATGAATTAAGCGATAGTATGAAAATAATGATATAGGTAAGTACATATCTACACATACATGATTTCTATTTCCATATGCTCGTAAAAAATGTAATTAAATTTTAATAAGTAGGTAGATATAAAACGAGTAGAATACATTTAATTTAATAGTAACTATATAACCTATATAATATTATTATGTATTAATTCAGAAAAATTTGAATATCCCCGAAATTATGTAAGCAATATAAAATTGTATTAGTGTACTGTCTATTAAGTGTTGAGTCAACATGATTTCATAAAATTATTCTATTATAATAAATTAAAGTTTTTACTTTCTTGGCATTTTGGTGATATAAATCCCTTTGAACATCCTTTGGAACAAATACCCGTATATTTATTACACATATTTTCTAAACAATTTGACGAGCAAAATTGCTCACAATTCGCACCATATTTATTCGATTTGCAATCTAATTAAAACAAATGTATAAACGCAATGAAAAAATTATGTAGAACTATTAAATTAGTTGCTTATAGACACTTATGTTTATAAGCTTTAATTCTGAAATAAATATGTATTGTACCTTCGTTACATAATGGACCTGTTAAACCAACTGGACATGTACATCCATAATTAGTACACATTAATAAACCTCTACAATGTTTATTTTTAAGAAAAGAACAAACATCAGTACAATTGCTGCCATACAAATTTTGCCCACAACCTGAAAAATGCAGGTATTGAATATTCCATAATGTTCAACGTTCAAAAATTGTTTAGGTTAATATACCGATAAACCACGACTTATGTTTTAATACTGCAATCGACTATACTACTATAGTATATTATCTTTTATTTTTTATAGGTCTTAGTCTATTATAGATACTTTAATATAATTGTATTATATTTTATGTAAGTATATCGGTACATCTATCTTTGGAATTGACACCTACGAATTGTAATATTACCTGTCTCACAAAACTCTCCCTTAAAACCAGGAGGACAAACACATTTTGAATTTTTTATCTTCAGTCCACCATTTAAACACAATTTTGTAGAGGTTTTAATCGTAGAACTATGGATTGCCGGGCGTTCTATACCTATGTGTAAATATTACAAAAATATAACTTAAATTGTATGTTTTTCAAATTTTGATTGCATTTAATTAATTATTAATTTATTATTATTTTTTAATTATCAAATTATTGATATTGATTATAATTTTCTACTTTTACCAGTAGAAATATAAAAATTTAAACTATACAAAACCATAAGAATCAAATTTAATTGATATGTCTATAATTTTTTTTAATGCAGTTTTATTTTCAAGAATTAATATATAATCTTTAGCGTTCGGGACTTCTTACACTTATTTTGTGCTTTTTTGATGATTCAACAGCTTTTTTTTTGTGAAATTTAAGTGAAATAAGTTCTAAGCCCTAATATTCACATAACGAAAATTGCACTTAAAATATTAGTAAAGGTAACTATAATACAAAATCAAAGGTTAATATATTTAAAAATATGTACCTACTAAAATAATATGAATTTTGCATACAATAATTTTCAGCCCTGTATAAATACTAAACAATTTGATACGAGGTTTATCAGTTATTATGATAAAATAAGGGGTAAATTAAAAAAATGAACTGCATGTCGAAATGTATTTATATACAGGAGTTTTAAGGGTTAAATACATACAAATAGCTCGATGAAAATCTATGATAAAAATATTACGTAATTTGGAAAATATAAATATAATATAATAATGTACTTTTCCGCTTTACTACTTACAAAAATTTACTTAGCTACGATAAGTATATCAATCATGTTACTGTGATTTGCAACCACTAGATATTTTATAACATTAATATGTTTATGGTCTTCATTAAAACTTTTCATTAAAATTCAATAAATGATTAAAAAATCATCTTTAATAATCTACTATTAACGCTCTCTAGAACAATTTAAAAAAATAAAAACACTCGATTTGTAATGGAAAAGCACATTATTAGATATGGTCAAAAAAAAAATAATGAAATTGAGACCAGATTGGCATGGGAATCTAAACCGTGTGTTTAATAAAGAAAAATTAAAGAAATTTGTTTCGACGAAAAGAATCTATAATGCTCCGAAAAAAAAAAATTTAGTCATATAGAAAAATAATAATATGCCTATACCTGTTGTAAATATATACCAATGTATTGTATATTTTAGATGAAATACATTACCATACAAAAATATAAAATACTAGCTGACCCGGCAATGCTTCGCCATTGCAAGATTTCTCAAATATTAATTTGCTATTTATTTTCTGGATGATTATTTTTATTTTAGACCACTTTTAGTCACGTCTCCATGGTAATGTAGCCATGTAAATTTAGCGTCACCACCGCGGATTCTTCATAATGTTGAAAAAAATTTATATCGGTTGTGTCAATAGAAAAATTGATGCTTTTTGCAAATTTTTTTTATCTAATAGATTTAATGTACGAAGCGCTAAAATTAGAGTTCGTGTATATAAACTTTGTAGGTATAACTATGGATGGAACAAAAGATATTAATTATGCCAGTATTTTGATAATTCAAAGACTTAAAAAATTTCTTTGTAAACGANTTGTAGTCTTGTACCGTTGTAAAGTGTGGGTGGGCTCAAATTTCTCATTAAAATAATAGGTGCCCCTATTTTTAAAATCAGTGTATGTGGTGGGACTCCATAAGACGTTAAAGAGTTAAGACATTCAGTTGGGAAATGGTGACAAAATAGCCCTTTCTTGAAACCATTTCAGTGATTTAGAAGATATATTTTGAATGTACACGTTTTGAATCAATTTTGTTATATTGGGTACTCAATTACAGAAACTGTTAATATTTATTTTATCATTCGTTGCTTGAAATTCGCCATTGCCTATTAAAAGTAAATATTGACAAAATTTATATTATCTTGATCTGTACATATCACTTTCATATTAGTTTTTAAGTTCTAATATTTTTATATAAGGCCATAAGTAGGATCTTTTCAAAGACGTGCGATAAACTTCTCGGAACAACGCCGATATCAAACACAACACTAAAAGGTCAGGTTGCAGGTAGCTGGAAATCCATGGGCCGCCGTGCCGCACAATATGTACAATAATATTTTTAGGTATACAATTATTTGAATTAATAATAACTAATTATTAATTAACTTTATCAGACTAAATTTATGCCTGAAACCTTCTCTATGATGTCATCTTTAATTTAAAAAAAATTGCACGACGATTGAGTAAGTAGTTTTGGAGTTTATCCCGAACAAAAAAAAGCGACTTCATTTTATATAGTAGTATAGATATAGATATAGATTAAAGAAACATTTTTAATTTATCTGGGATTTTCAATATTAAACCGTTAATCTATTCGGTAACAAATATTTATATAAATTATTGTACATATTTTTATTTTTTTTTTTTTTTTGTTATTTGGAACTTGTTGAATATTGTGACAATATTCGAATACATTATATTCACAACTGAAAAATAGTCCTGCGATAATAGTATTGACATACTGTTATTTTGAACGATTAAGGGGAAAACTTTATTCTAATTTATTATTAATTACAATAAAGGCTTACCTAAGGATAATGTAAATTATTTTATATTACCATATCCAAAAATCCTGAATGGTTTTGATTCGTTAATTAAATTACTTTCTGCCATAAGTTGAACATCTTTATCTAAGACATAATCAAATTTTACATATTAATTTATTTTTATTAAACGTATTTAATAATTTCCCCATAATCAATGATAATATAAATTATTATTATTAAATAATAAAAGATTAGAGTAAAAACAAAATTATTAAAATAGCTAATTCTCGTAAATAAATATATAAATAAAAATGTGTATAAAAAAAATAATAAATTAAAGAATGAATGCGTCACACAAAGTATTATAATAAGTGTATTATACGACCGGTTTCGAAATAAAAATTCATCATAAGGTATATCACAGTAAAAAAGTAAAACACGACTGAATATAAAAAAAAAACTGATACCGGAGATGGGAGAGGCCTACTGTTGTAGGTGAGGAGTTGGGAAGGTGAGATACATAAGGTTATTTCATTTATATCTGTAAGCGACGATAAATCATTGCTTGACGACAGACGATTCCGAGCACAGTTCGGTAATACATAATTTGAAGTGCCGTATTATTTTTTTGCGAATTTTGTTTAAATTTTATTTCAAAACGCTTAATAAAAAAAAAGTCGTCTGATGATTTTGAAAATTTTACTACGTCTAGGGAAATCAAATATAAGTATTATTACCAAGTTTCAAATCTACGTGTGTTTATATCGAATTACAGAAAAAAACTCCTAAAAATTAAAATTTCTTAAAGCTCAAAAGTGACACAACACTTTTGGCGATGATACCGTTAGAAATTAAATCAAAAGGGCAATAAAAAGGGTATCTAATGATTTTTCGATTAAATCATTTTTTCTCGTAGAAAACGTCGTCCGTATTTTTATAAAATAATGAAATCATGAAATTATACGTTTTCCTATGTTTTTCTCCACTTAAGTTCTTTTATTTAAAATCGAAAATTGACCATCTAGAGAATTTGATCTTTCAGAAAAGTTGCTACACGTAAAAATCGGAGCAAGTTTACTAGTAAAAAACGTGTCCACAGACTAGAACAAAGAAAACCAAAGAAAAAAAAAAATACAAATTGATTGTTTTGTATAGAAATAATTTATTTTAATAGAAGAGATTATTTAAAATGGGTTATTACTAAACAAAGATATGTTAAGAAATATAAATTATTTGGCTATTATTCAATATCAAAAATGTATTCATATAAGATATTATTTTTAAAATCGATTTGTACATTTAAAATATTATTAAAATTATTTTTCTTTATTTTATTGTAAATATGTAATACTCGTGTATTACATTTTGACTGTGATATACCTGATGATGAATTTTTAATTCGAAATCGATCGCACATATCAAAATACTCCAGGTGACGCATCCATTTTTTTATTTATTATTTTTAATTTTTATATAAACATTTTTTATTTATATGTTTATTTACTATAATTAATATTAACTTACACGCCGTAGAAATTTATTAAAAGTTTCGGAAACAGAATATTCAAATGATTAATGAAAATTGCGATTAAATTGTTATTGTTAGCATTAAAATCGTATTCTAACAATGAAGTATTTTTCCTGTCTGTTAAACACGACTTTGACCAGAATATACAATTTTTTTTTTTTTGCATATACTTTGCAATTTTTTGCAATTCCTTTTATGTTCTACGTAAGTACGTTTTTTAAAAATATAAAAAACATCGATACAGAGTTGAGTGTTTACGAACAAAATTCAAAGCGTTCAAAAATCTGATATTAAGTTAAACAAGCAGGCAGTTATTGATATTATATTGAATACAGATTTTTAAATTTCAATTTTTATATTGAAGCTTGAGTGGGTATTAGATAATTTTGTTGATTTTGGGTTCCCTTGGTTAAACGAAAAACTATTTTAATTTAAAGTTGCCTAAACTAATCGATTAACCGAACCCCATTCAGAATAAGTTTTTTCATTTGTTATCGTGTTATACCGTTGACTTAAGTATAACAAAACCTATACAAAAGAAATTACGTTGATATTCATAATATGTACCTTAACAATTTCTCACCTATACATCATGTGGTCAAATAATGTAGCACAGCGTGACTGTTTTTTTTTTAATCATGTTTTTAATTAATATTGATATAAGTAATTATTTATTTAAAGAGTAAAATACCTTGACTTTCTGAACATACGGCTATTTTTATGAGCCCAAATATCATTTCATCAAAACCGGGTTCATAATTATTATCCTTAACTTTAAAAACTATTGATAGTTGATATTTTTTATCTTTCATAAGATCAATGTCCATAATTTTCAAGTGTTTTATTACTTCCTGCGGGTATGCAAAAATAAATTATTTGGTTGATTTACATATAAGCACAAACTTTAATATTCTTAGAAACTATAGAATAACATTTATTTCACTTACACTTTTTTCCAATTTGACAATAGCTATCGGGGATTGATTTGTTTCATTTAATACTTTTATTAAATCCACACTTACATCGAATGTAGATTTCAATTTATGTATATACGTTATTATTAAACATGTTTGTTTTTCATCGGGTACCCATGATACTGACAAAAAATATCGAAGATGCGTACCACCAAAATGATTATATTTAGACGAATTATCATGATTTTCATATTGATAATCTAATGCAGAATAACAGTTTTCATACATTTCTGGAAATAAAATTGATAAAATTTATTAATATCGTCATTCAAAATTCGTGGTTTAAGTAGTTAAGTCAGATTTTGGGAATGTGCCGAATGTAAAAATGTGTGTTAAGCCTAATTCGTAATAAACTTGAGTTGTAAGTTAATATGTATTAATTTTCTAATTTAACTATAGTTCATTTAGTTTTTGCTATAGAAACTATAAGGATGAAAAAGCTATCCTAGGATAATGGGGACGGATGTAACCATTTTTAAAGGTAATTTAATGTACATTTTTCACAACAATTAACCATTGCTAATGAAAAAACGATCCTGACTGGACTTCGGTTGATGATGTTGGTTTGTCAACAACATATTTATGTTACATAATGGCAAAATAATTACATATGCATTATATGTTTTCTTTAATAATATTTTTTTAATAATGTACTTATTTTCCCGTCTTTCCTACGTTTATCCTAATTCTTCTTATGTATTGAGAAAACTCCTGTGAAAATAAAAAAAAACCATTCTAAAGTACTCCCTAGACAGATTTCCGTTTAGAAAAAATACTATCATTGTAAATCGGAGCAAAATTTCTAGTAGTAAAGTTGCCCACAAAAAAAAAATAAACATCATTGTAAAACCATGACCTTCTTCACTCCACTCAGAAACTAAAAAATATCACACACATACGCATCAAAGAAAATTATAATGGCTGCTTGAAAAACCGGGAAAAAATTGAAGAAAAACGGGGAAATGTAAGAAATGTTGGTATTAGTTAAAAAATATTATGGCTTTTTATTTTCCTGTGTACAATTTTTCTACCTGTAAGTTTGATCCAACATTTAATTATAGCACTATTTAAAAAGAAATCTGACTGCGGAAATACATTGGAAAGGTCTTTTTTCGATTTTTTCAAGATTTTTCCCAGAAAATGTAAAAACAAGTGAAAACATAAGAAAATCAAGAAAAACTTTGGAAAAACGAGAAAATCGGTACAATATTAAACAAATATCATTAAAAAAAAATACATAATGCCTATTTAATTATTTAACCATATTAAGACATATATAATATTGACAAAGTATAACTATCAACTGAACTCCGCTCAAAATCGTTTTTTCATTAACAATGGTTTATCGTTACTTACAGATATACATTAAATTCCCTTCCGTATCCCACCTTCGTAACTTCCTATCAACAACTGTGGCTGCACCCACGTGTGAAGTATGAGTATCTTTTTTTGTTAATAGTATTATAAAATAATACTATTTATATTCAATCGTAATACTTAGAACTAAATTTACCACTACCACTACAGTTTAAAAAAATAACATCTACATTTCGCAAGAAACGATAAACTATTGTCGTTCGTTGATTACTCGAATTATTGGAAGATACTGTTTAAAATTATATAATTATTTGAGAATTGTTCTTTTGACCAATTTTTGTCACTGTTTACCATCTCAATAAAAGAGAGAGTTTGGGACACTATTAATTTTGGACAATGCATTACATGTTCCCCCGTCTTTCACCCACTATAGGCCATGAAGACGATTTAGAAACAAAGAGAAAACATATAATTTTGGATACAATATTTCTTTCACGATCTATTGATAAGAATGGGTGATGAGACAAACTTATAATTGTTTTTTTTTTTATTTGAAAAATGATTCATAATATCATTAACCAACTAAAACAAATTTCATACCATTTCAAACAATAAAATTGTTTTTCGGTATTAAAACATTTGATGAAAAAATTATGAATATAAATTTCTGGTAAAACCCAGATAACTCCATACAATTTAGGTTAATATTAACTCTCATCTCAAAGTAATTATGAAAATCAAATCAAATACTACGGAAGCTTTGTATAATGGTTTAATGTATTTAAATTGACTTTAAAATTAATGTTATCGTAAATACAATAGTTTTAAAACGTTTTTTTTTTTGTCTCCTGAAAATTTATGAAAAGTGAAGTTGTTTCACTATTGCACTGACTCCTTTTTTTTGTTATTACACAAGGAGAAATTAGTATACTCTGAAAAATACTGCGATCCGAACGTCATTAAAGTATCCCGTATAAGTATTTTGATGGCACCACCATGATAAAGAATCGCTAAAAAAATGATAATCTACCTATTTTTACTTCCCCCTTCCCTGAAACCGATGGTATAATGTAGGATATATAGTATAATATAGGTAGAATATACAGTATGTGCTCACCAAATATATTCCGTTCTAAGTTTGTAAATTATTGCGATTTATGAAAAACACAATAATTAAAAAAAACGTATAAATTGTTGATTATATCAAAGCGATTGACTTTTATTCTAACTACATCATTACAACTGTGATCTAATGTAAGCGTGTTTTGTTTTTAAAATTACCTGTTTTCTGATCCTTTAATGATTCTGCGGCGTTTCTATCGGGGTCACAACTGTTACCTATTTGTTATCAAACATTTGATGTATTAAAAACAACACTTTAAATTAGTAAAAATATGAACCTATGTATTCAATATATTACCGTCCAATTTAAACATTTTATGTCTTGTATACTTTGTGATATGTTCAATAACCCCATTGGTTTGAATTGATCCATTTTTTAGAACGTTAAACAATAAATTTATGTTTGATTTAGAATTTTTATAGGGTTTCTGTTGTACCAACCCGGTAGTTGTTGTTTTCGAATTTAATTGAATTGAAAAATGTCCATTATAACTGGTTAAGCAATGTCTATCAATTAATCCTGTTCCTGATAATATATGTAAAATAAATTTAATATAAAATCAGAATATATACTTACTCATAATTAATTCTAAATAACGACATTGAATTATTAATTATTAGTTATATTATAATTAAAATATAAGAAGACATATCTCCTCAAAAAGAATAGTTTTCTTTTAATACATACTTAAAATATTATTAAGTTATTATTATTCGTATATATTTTCAAATTGTACAAAATTGTAAAACATTTTTATAAAATCATCACCAATCTCTTTAAAGTACATTTTAAAGATATGTACCTACATAATAATATAACTGTATTTTATTGTGTAAGATTAATATTGTACAAACCGTTAATGCTAAAATCAATCGAATCCGTGATTTTATAAAGCGTGGTGGTGTCATCCACCCACTTATCCATTTTCGAAATATAATCTAAACACAAAAAAAATTAACATACACTATTAAAATATAATTTATCACGTTAATATATACAGAATTAAAAGAATTAGATACTTAAACGTTTATAGTTTATATTTCGAATAGGGGTTGAATTATTTATTACATTTTAAATTCTAATGGAACGAAGAAGCTTATGGTTTTACAAGGATGTTTATTTTTTTTTTTTATCTGAGCGCAACTTTTCTACCAGACGACTTGCTCGAATTTCTACCTGTAGCACCTTTTCTGAAAGAAAATCGACGTGAAGAAGTAGTAAGAAAGTAATTTTTTAATTTTCAAGAGTTTTCTCATCAAATGCGAAAAACCGAAAAAAAAGGGAAAATTTACGAAACATAATAAATATAATTTATGATTTTTTTTTTTTTAAAGACAACTTTTTAACTAACAATTTTGCTCCAAATTTTAATGATAGCAATATTTCTTTAAGGAAATTTCACTAGAGAACTACTTTAGAGAAGTAACCTTTTAGATTTTCTCAGAAGTTTTCTCATCAAAATTTAAAAACCGGGAAAATCGTAGGTAAACTGGTAAAATTGGTACAACATCAAACAAATTTTATTAAAGATATATATAAAGCTTATTTAATTATTGTACTATAATATGACATATATATATATACTGTTTACATCAGTTAAGTTCACTATCAACTGAACTCCGCTCAGAAACGATTTTTAATAATTAATGGTTTATCGTTACATACATTAAATTCCCATCTATATCCTACTTTCCCAACTTCCCTCCTAATTCCCATTATCTTACCTTTTTTTTTGCCATATTTAAATTTTGTAATTATTTATAAATTTCTTGTATCAAATTCTAAAGATTTGGCCGAGGTTTTTGTGCTATTAGTTTATTGTATTTTGCTCGATTTTAGAAAATCAGAGAGCAGTATAATATAATGTATAAATATAGTTAAGATACCAAATATATTTAAAATAATATTAATATATTTACTTGTTCAGGAATTTTTTTCTAGAATATTTGGGAAACAAGTTGTTCTATAATTTTATATTCATGTTATTTTTTGTCATCCTTATTTTTGAAGATAAAACCACTACCTACTTTTGATTTTGATTTTCATATGGCAACGTATATTTAAAATTTCACAAATAGACGAAGTATTAGTTAAAATAAATTTTGGTGTTGACATTTTTGTTTTCCGTCAATCTGTTGGCAATTTTTATGTTTGGGTTGGGGGAAAATGGTGGTGCATTATTAACACGCCGCACATTGTACCGTCACACACATGATATTCCGCTACTCTCCCCCTACCTAAACTTAAAAAAGAAATATCTCGTTAACGGGTAGACGGAAATCAAAAATTTTAACACCAAAATTTATTTTAACTAATACTTCGTCTATTTATGAAATTTTTAGGTTGCCATTTTAAAATCAAAAGTAAGTAGTTGTTTTACCTTTAAAAATAAGAGTGACAAAAAATAACATATATATAAAATTATAGAGCAGCTTGCTTCTTAAGTGTTCTAGGAAATAAATTCCGGAAAAAGTTAATACTTTCTGAGATAATGAGTGCCTTATAATAGATTGATCACATCGTATAAGTGCCTATATAGCAACCTGGGTAATTGCAGAATTGACCATTTAATTATGTTCACGATTAATAAATTATAATATATTACCTAATTTAAAGCATTTTAATATTTATTATTTGTTTGAATATCCATAAAATGTTAAGACAAGGTTTATTGGAAACGAAATATACTACGGACATAATTTATAATAAAAAAGAAAAACATAAGTAAAAGAAAGAAAATAGTTACATTTTTTTTAAACGTAGTATCTATTCAAAATAATATAATGTAAACACACTTACCATTATTATGGCAAAAAAATTCAATTTTTGGTTTAGAACATACGTTCAAAATTTGTAAGCAAAACAAAAAATATGCACATAATAACAAATTATTCGTATGATATTTCAAAAATATATTAAATCCACACACCATATTATTTTAGCTTTAATAAACTAAAAATAATAATTATATAGAAGTATAAATAGTAAAATAAATGATATGATTGTTAAACATTAACTAAATAAAGAAAAACGTTAAATCGAAGTATAATGCAAAATAGTGAACATTTTTATCGGATATTTTATATATTTTGCAGATAAATTTATTAGTTGTCCAATATTCAAGGTTCATCCTTTGTCTTATATATAGTACCTAATAAGTGAATAACACACAGTAGATTCGAATTACATTTATCTATTATAACTTTTGATATGTAGGTAATTGAACTTTAACATCTACACAGATTTAATAAATTATATAATTAAAATTTTGCTAATTATAATAATGGTATTTGTGGAAAATATTTTCGTTATCAAAATAAAAATAATGTATAGGTACCTAGTTAAATACAATTTACGTAAATAAGCGGACGTAACAAAATTACAAGTTCATCTAAGTGGAATTTTATTATAATTTTATGGCTAATTGATTGTACCCTTTTTTTTTCTGATCTTTAAAATATAATTAAAAATCATGAATTTAATGAAAATCGTGCCTTGTATAACTCGTCGAGTTTGTGCATGCCAAAGACGCCACTGCTGATTTAATTAATTTAATTATTTTAACTGTTTTCCAATTTTATTTTATACCAGAAATATTGTTCCAAATTTCAAGAGTAGAATCTTTTCTGAAAAAAAAATTATATCTAATACCTATATTGATGTATAATTTGATACATCAAAAAGTCACTTTTGTATTGTCCGAGTAATTTTCTTGGGCAAATTGGGCAAGATTTGGAAAAACGTATAGAAAGATTGGGAAAATGTACGGAAATAACGGTTTCACTATTTTAAATTTGGTTTTTTGTGATATACATTTCTTCAAAGTACTTTTATTGGCCTTCTCTAGATATGGTCAAATTTTAAAAATATTCTGACAATTTTTGAGCTATTTAGAGGCATTTTACGTTTTTTAATTTTTTTAGTTTTTATTTGGTATAAGTACTATAAGAATAAAATTGTTTAACCAAACAGAAACGCTTGAAATTTTACAATTAGATTAATTATAGGTTTTACTTAGTGATCAAAAATAAAAAAGATACGGACATACTTCCCACGATCGGTGGGCCACTGTTGTAGGTGAGAAGTTGAAAAGGTAGAAGAGAAATTTAATGTAAAACTGTACGCAACGATTAACCATTGCTAACGAAAAACGATTCTGAGCGAAGTTTTATTACTAGTTTTGATTTATAATATTTACAAATTGGACTATAATATTTACAAATTTCATCAAAATTTGATATTCAAACTCTTTTAAAAAAAATACTACATTGAAATAATTTATTTTTTTTTTTAAAAAGTATATGACATAAATGAACTTCCTTGTTAAATTTTCTAGCATTTATGTTTGGTCTAAAAAATTGTATCCATAGAATACTTACCGAACAAAAATTACCCGAAGAAATACCTTAAAATTGAAATATATAGTTTAAAATAGCTACAATGTTTTGAAAATCAAAAAATGACCACCCTAAAGTACCATCTCAATCAGATATTCTTTCAGAAAAAGTGCTATAATTTTAAACCGGAGCAAAATTGCAGGTAGAAGAGTTGTTTACAAGAAAAAAAAAGGCTGTAGTATTTATTATTTACTAATACATTTCGTACATTTTCCCGTTTTTCTCATTTATTGGGAAAACTCCTAGGAAAATTAAAAAAAGACATTCTTGAAGTACCATCCCAATCAGATTTCCTTACAAAAAAAAGTGCTATACTTAAATGTTAGATCAATATTTCTAGTAGAAAAGTTGTTCACAGAAAAAAAATGTATAATCATTATTATACCTATAAAATCAATAAATTCCTCTCTCCGCTTAGAATCTAAAACTTAAACGTATTATCGTAGGTTTTTTTAAAGATTTTAAATTAAATTTTGACGAAAATGGAAGAACAATTTAAACCAAGGTATTTTAAAATATTTATAACAAAACTTCGCTCAGAATCGCATTTCGTTAGCATTGGTTTATTGGCTAACAGATATAAATTAAATAGCATTATATATCTATCTTTTCCGACTTCCCACCTACAAGAATAGCACACCCTTTCCTATTATTATCTCTTTTTTTTAATTGTTTTAGTGAAAACTCCTGATCATGCTAACTTAGATAAATAATATAATGCAGTTTTACACAAAATGTATTTAAATAAAAAAAAAGAACAGACTTACTTCACACGTGGGAGTTGCCACTTTTGTAGGTAGGAAGTTGGGCTAGTAAGATATAAACGGGAATTTAATGTATATCTGTAAGCATCGCAACGATAAACCATTGGTAACGAAAATCGATTCTAAGCGGAGCTCACAGTTGATAGTGTTTTTTTGTCAACAATATATATTATGCCATATTATGGCTGATACGAGTATTATGTGATCACAATAATGTGCGTTTCCATGACAACAATGATCGCTTAAAAAAGATTTAAAATAAAACCTAATAATAACAAAAAAAAATAAATATAAATGGTTGCCAATGACAACCTTAATTTAGATTCGGAGAGAAGCAAGGAATGTATTGGTTTTACAATGATGTTAATTTTTTAAATTTTTTTTTATGCGGAACACTTTTTCTACCTATACATTTAAATTAAATTCTTGGGAAAATCAAAAAATGGCCTCGCTAAATTACTTTTCTAGTCAGATTTACTTTCAGAAAAAGTGCTATCATGATTGAATAATCATTGTAAATTAGAGCAAAATTGCGAATAAAAAAGTTGTCCACAGAAAAAAAAATATCGTAATATTTTCCTAATATATTACTTACATTTTCCCAGTTTTCCCAGGTTGATAACTATATAATATTGTATATTATTATGCATAATATAATATTTTCCATGTAATGTATATACGTCGTGTATAAAAAAAAAAATTTAACTCTTATTAATTTTCCAATTTTTTTCGTTATAGTTATTTTTTTTAAACTTTCAATGACAAACTTATTCAAAGGCTAAACTCGGAGTGTGAAAGGGGTCCAGACTAATCTTTCAATCTTTTTTAACCTAAAGATAATGAGAAAAACTCAGTCCTCATTATCACGAATATTAATGAGAATTTCATAAAATGACCTCTTTAAAATACCATCCAGAGAACATTTCCTTTCAGAAAAGATGCTATACTTGACAATCGAAATAAAATTTCTGGTAGAAAAAGTATTTACATGAAAAAAAAAAACTGAAGATCATTATAAAACCAATACATTCCTCGTTCCACTCAGAATCTAAAATAATAACATGTATTATTTTCTTCAGTAATATTATGACAAGAAATAATAAGGTTAAACATTTTTTCAATGGAGCATAATTTTAATGATGTTCTAAATAAAAATAATTAATTTAAAAATAATATCATATTAAAAAAACAAAATAAAATGTTAGGCTTTATTTTGTACTTAAGCTGAGAAGGCTCCATGTTTTTCAAAAATAGAATAATTTTAGCTAAAAGCCCATAAAAGTTTATTAGGTAACTCGACTGACAAAAAATTTTGGATTGTTCCCTCTAGAAATCATCCAGTTACTGATTTGAAACAGAATGTGTATCGTTTGACCACTTCAAATTATATTTAATTCAGCACCGTTAGGTTAGGTTTACTTGTTAATATTACCCTGTATATAATACAGATACTTTTATGGTGTGTAATATATTTAAATTATATAATATTTTATTTCATTGTAATATTACACCCATTATTAATAGTGCTATCATTGAGTTTTTTTAATCTAACCTAATCTAGTTTATCTAAGTGTTGTAGGTATTAAGCACAGTTGATAAAAAATATTAGTATATTATATATATTTTATTGGTAATTAAAAATCGATAATGGATTTTTAGTAAATTATAGTCGCGTACGTTTTAAATATTCATCAATACAAATATTAAATACACAATAACATAGTGATTACAATATATGTAACTATAATTAATATACTAATATGTGTTTATGGCTAAATACAATCGAATATTTAAATATTAATAAATATCACTCATCAGAATATCTAATTTAAAAAAAAATCGTAATATTTGCTCGGTGATAATATTAGAAAGGTTATCAATAAGGTTTACATATTAGAGAATCTACGATTTGTGTTTCAAAATATATTTATTAATTCAGTATTGAAATAATAAAGTCTGAACTGTTAATAATAAAAAGTTTAGTGTAAACGTTTTAAAAATAATAATTTTTAACTTCAACTATTTTACTAGTTCATGTCAACCTTTAGGTATATCTACTCATAAAACATTTGATGATATTAAACAAATTTTGATTCACGAAATCAGAAAATACCATCGTTCAGACGGGGGACTAGAAAAATCCAGAACTGTAATTCGGAATGTAATATTCCGGAAAAATATCAATTGTTTTTAGAAAAGCTTTGTTATCACAAAAATGTCAACATATTTATAAAGCAAAAGAAGAAAAGGGTCAAATAGAAAATTCAGGAAAGGAGACATAATAGTCAGGGAAGGAATGCTTTGAATCTAAAGAATCGGGTGATGTAAAAGGCCGACGATAAAACTGATATTGGTGAGTGGTGACATGTCGTTGAAAAAGCTAGTGATTACCGTTTTGATTTCATTGGTTTTTACTTAATTACGGAATATTCCGATCCGTGTTTTTACATTCCGGTACATTATTGCGGTCCGGAAAATTACAGTTTGGAATATTATGTTCCGGAATTTTATCATTTCTGATAGTTATTCTGGAAAATTATGGACTACCGATTTATGCCTACCATACGCTTAATATAATTTCTATATTTATGCAGTGATGTATTGCTAAAATAAACCATGGTTTGACCTTATTGACGTATGTAGAGATATATGGAGATATAAATGTAGGACTCAAAAAAATTTTTCTCGATTCGCTCGAACAACAACTATTTTAAATTCTAAGTGGAAAAAAGAAGCTTATGGTTTTACAAAGATATTTATTTATTTTTTTTTTTTATTTTATCTATACGCAACATTTCCATCAGAAATTTTGCTCCGATTTACAATTATAGCATTTTTTCTGAAAGAAAATCGGACTGGGGCAGTACTTTAGGGTGGTCATTTTTCAATTTTCTCAGGATATTTATCATCAAATGTGAAAAACTGAAAACACAAGAAAATGTACGAAATATATTAGTAAAATATTAAGCACTTACAATATTATCATCATTCATCACTCAGCGAGTTATCACAATTTATTGTGATTCGGTCGACCGAAGTCCTCCACATAACATATTTATTTCATGGATAATTCGATTATGAATGCTTGATAACAAGACTAATAACAAAATAACAATATCTTAATTTTCAAATGATAATTATCGTAAAAAAAAATAAATAAATATTCGTGTTACGTCCCCGATTACAATTCGTGCTCACCAAAATGTATTACAATAATTTATATAGATATATAATAAGTACCTGTTTATAATTGCCATATAGGATATACGGTAGATACGGCCGTATACCCGCGTATCATCAATTTGCCATAGGCTATACGCCATGGATAAAAATAGCGTATTGGGTATACGCCGTATACCCCCGTATACACCCCAATACACCACTGTAATTCATGCCATATTTACGCGTGTTTATAAATTACTATTATTATTTACTATACCCGTTATCTGTCAAATATATTTATCATACAATTTTATAATTATAAAAAATCAATGTTACTAATAATAAAATATTTTCATTATAGTTATAACATGATGTGGTTCAAGAAAAAGAACTAAATTAAATCACGTTATTATCAACAAAGTACAGCTCCGAGTAAAAACTTATTTGTTAACAAAAAAAACACAAATCCTTTTACTTATAAATAGGTATCTATTTCACTTTAGCGTTTATAGGAAACAAGATTACAAATAATCTTGTCAATTAATTACGTTTATTAAACTATAAATATTTTTCTGGATAGGTATTTGGTTTTACAGCAAAAATAAATTAATGATTACCTATACTAAAGGTTAAACTGTATTATATAAAATATGAACTATAAAGTAGATTATTTTTGTATAGACTTATTCATGCGAGTTTAAATTACGCATGGAAGATGAATTTATAAAAAAAAAAAAAAAACAAAGTATTATGCAAAAAACACAGTAGGAATGTATTGTTCAACTCAAAAATAATTATTGAGATTATTAATAAGTGTTATTCGCCTGAAACATTACGCCACAATAGTTTACTGCTTATAGGGTAACATTAAAATATAATGGACATCTTAACTTTTTTTATTATGTTTCACAATGACATTTCTCAAATAAAAGTACCTTGTTAATTTTTACTTATTTTTGATTCTGAGTGGAGCGAAGAAGCTTATGGTTTTACAAAGTTGTTTTTTTTTTTTTTATCTCTGCGCAACTTTTTAACCAACAATTTTGCTCCGATTTACAATGATAGCACTTTTCTGAAAAGAAATCTGACTGGGAAAGTCCTTTAAGGAGGTTATTTTTTGATTTTTCCAGGAGTTTGCTCAACAAGTGAGTAGTTACAGCTAGTATAGCTATAGTAGTTCCTGTGACTTCAAAATTAGAACTCTGTGCATTTATTGGTGCAATTAAAGCCCAAATATTGGAGTGCTGAAATTATGTAATGCTCACTAACCCGAGCTTTACAGAGTAATACACATTACACACACCTTCAAATATCCAAATACTCAAAGTATCAAGTCAAAGTATTAAACGGTAATATCATTGTGTAACCATTTACCATTTTATTTATAACCGTAGTCTTGTAGCAAATTTTTGAGTAGCAAACGTTTCAAACGTCTGGTAACAGGAAAATTCAGTGTGTCTGTTTGGTAAACTAGGGTCATTGATTGATACATTATAATCAATGAGAAATAAAAAAATATATAATCAAGCTTTTCAAACGATTTCCGCTTGTGATTTTCTTATGGGATCGAGAGAGATAAACAATACTGGGGCGAGCTCTTACCAACATCGCCCGTAAGACGAAAACGAGCCATGTCTTGAACGTTACCCAGGGCAAACAAATTGCCACCAACTTACAAATGTACTAAACAACCTAAATGTTTCATAATAAATTGATTACTTTCACTCATCCAATTTTAAAAATTATTTGAACTTGTTCAAACTAGTCGATAGATCAATGGAGTGTACTTTTAAGATTTGTATAACCAATAATAATGTTATATTATCATCTATTTTTAATTTTAAGTTTGATAATATAAATCAAATATGTCCAATATCCATTGCTTGTAAAGTATGCTGCGTGTAAGATTGATTATTATGCATTCAGTTTTGTTTCATCATTTTAACGATTACACTTGACAACAAAAAACAAAAACAAATTTTCTGTCACTTATTTTGATTATTGTCACTGAGAATTCACTTTCTCTCGGATCTAGTCGATAAGTAAGAAAGTCGTTTTTTAATTTTTCGTGTATATTTTTTTTTTTAACATTTAGCAAAACCAAAACAACGTAGGAAGAAAGGAGAAGTATACGAAAATAATGGTTTCATTAGAGGGGGCTAGGATGGGACATGTTTCTCCTGGCTTTTCCGTGTCTGTTCTATAAAATATTATAATTTATATTAAATACATTGAATAAATGAAAATTTGATGATCATATATTATATTGTAGGATTATTTTCATTAGTGGTTTCTAACCGGTTGTTGACGACATAATTGAAAAATCAAAATAGTATAGGCGATTAGGAAATATTATTGTAAAAATACAATGCCCCCTCCTGTACTTTCAAAGATGGACGCCTTTACGACCGGTCGTTTCTGATTGCCCAATTTCGATTAGTGTGCCTTAAAATTGAATTTTATAATTCAGTTAATTTTCTTTTCATTTATAATTATAATTATAATAATTTTATCCTTATTGATGGCTTGGTATTTTACAAGTGTAAAATGCTATAAATCTACAGTTGGAATGAAATTAATAATTTTTATTTAAAAACACTGCTTTATTTGTAACCTACAATAATTTATTCTCATATTTATTAGATAGGAAGATACTAATATTATTATTTATTATTTTCTCGTGTATATTATTTTGAATTTTTAACTTTTTAAATTATAATATTTAATGTATAGGTATTTATTCTATAATAGTTTCTTTTAAATTTAAGGAGAAAATGTCATGTACATGTTATATTATTATTGTCTATTATCGTTTATTATAATTGTTATGTAGTTTACCCAGTAAACAGTATACTTTCATTTTATATAGGTATCCACGTTAAAATTGTATAAATCAGCAAATTGTAAGACTCATTCGGGGGCTGGTAAACTCCTACAAAAGTAGGTAATCTCTTACATTGACATAGTGTTTATTCCTACAAAAGATAGTGTGAACTCCTGCACTAGATAGTTGTAAAGTTGTAAAAAGTAAAATAAGATATTTTAAAATAAGTGAAAATCAGTCATTAACTACAAAAATTAAAAATAAAATATTACAAAACAATTTTTTTTTCTAATTATTGAAACAAGTACATGAAGTAAACGAATAAGTGTAATTCATTAATAATATTAACTAGATACCGAATAACATGTACACAAATCGATAAAACAAACAACACTGTCAAGAATAATACAGTTATTAAATTATTTTGTTCTGCGATTACTGGTATGGATGCTATTAGCTTTTTATCTCTGAGTGGTGAAAAAAAGAGAAAGAGATTGTTGTATTTCAAATTTACGGAAATAACGTAGATGTTATCGAAATGTTTGAGAATTTCCAATACGATGACTTATATTAATATATTTACTAAATTTTATTTTACATTTTAATATCTTGCATTCGTAAGTCTCTACGAATATTTATCCAAAATGCAATAAAAAAGGTTTCTTATTATTTTTTCTATTAGAGAACTATTTCTGGTATAAAACGTCGTGCGTGTTTATTTAAAATAATGAAATCGTAACTCGTACGTTTTTTTCCCACTTAACTAAAATTATCTCAAATAAACATCATTGTAAAATCAATCTTCGCTACACACAGAATTTAAAATGTAAGAAGGTCTATGTAGGACCATCTAGTTTTGTTAGGTAAAAAGAGACTATGTAGACGTTCACACTACGTTTTAAATACAGGTAAAACGGTCATTTTTGAAGGAATTTACACGTAGCCCTCAGTCGTTGGTCGTTGGTCGACACATCTGGTTCTGCTAAATTGTTAACGGATTATAAAAATAGTGTTGGACAACTTACTCATATGCTTCACTAGTGGAAGACCTGGAGAACGAGTCCAGTAAGAATTCAGTAAAATATGTCTGTGCCTTAAGTACCTTAAGGCTTAAAACTCAAAGAATCTAGAATAGATAATTGTCGTTGAAACACCACACCGCAAAAGGACGTCAACTCCCTTGGCCATGCGGCCCCGCAGGCTGCAGTAGCTACGCCACTGTTACAGACAGAAAAAAACACATCATAGTAAACCCGTTATATTATTATACCTTGCTTCGCTCAGAATCTAGAAAAATAAAATGGCTTTTCGGGATGTTTGTATCGGGACAAATGTTTAAATTTTAAGATTTTAACTAATTTCGCCCCCTCCCCGTAAAGTGTGAACTTCAAATGTAAATTTATAACCGCTACGGCAATAACCACTAATAGATGAAATCACAAAAGAAGCTAGACGAAACCCCAGACCACGATATTTCGATGTTCGTCCGATGGTTGCACTGCGGCTCCGCGGATAACAGGTTGCGGTCGACGACGGTTGCGCAGGTAAACAACGAACAAGTGTACCGAGTGGTTACTCTGCCGCGGGGACAATTTACTCGCTCGGTATTGTTGTATACACGTTTATAATATTATAGGTACCCACAGTGCGTTCATGCTCGTACGGACTACAGGGCGATCGCCGCACCTGTTCCCGACCTGCCGGAGTGTCGACTGTATTGGTGAATGTGATTTCCGATCTTTTATCGCATTCGCGTGCTCCGTTTTCTCGTAATATTATTGTTGTTGTCGGTCGTTTACATCGTACGTTACAAACAATAATAACATTCAATTATCGCGTCGCCGCGTTTCCGTTGGGTTTTCGTTCGAAATTGACCGTGCGCTTGCCGCAATGCTTTTATGATAATTTTTTCGTTATTGTTTTCGCTTGCGCGGTCCGCGTACGGGACGACGCGTGTAAACGGTTCTCGATCGACAATGGGCTCGTAGCCGAGACGACCGTCCGTAGCCGTGATGCGGAATCCGAGTGTAAACCGTAACAGCAATCGTCCATAGCCCCCGCACGTTTAAAGCAGCTATGTCATGGAATTTTGTAAATACCTATTGCTCACGGTTTTCCTGTTTCAAATGGTAATTATTTCCGATTCAATGGTTTATTTGATTATTATGTAACCACTAATGCAGCCGTATGAATACGATGGCGAACGGTCCGTTTCAATAACTAACCTAATGTTGACGGTGTTTCGACGTTCCGATGACGTTACGATCCATTTAATATTTACAACGGTTTGTCATTAGTTGTACTTGTGCCGATTGAAAACTGTGTTGACTGGGTAGGCTGTACTCGGGTGTATTATAATAATACCTAAAAACGGGTTGGTACCGTAATGTGGGTACGCGGTTCGTGTTGGACGTATCGGTACCTAAAGAGTGAAATTTGAAACAGAATCAAGTTATGGTGTACTAAACTTCAATGTAACCAATTTGCAAGTAGATAGGCACCTCGAATATATTTTCTTTTGCTATTTAACAGGCCTTATAGTAAAATTATAAAGACTTTTAATAGTAATTTTATTTTTATTTTAATCGTCATATGCCAATCTACAAAAGTCGTCCTGTGGGTCTGTTTCACACAATCAACGGTCCGTTACTTTAACAATAACAGAACAGATAAATACTAAAAACAGACTATTATTATTTTTCACGCAATCCGTTTGTTGGTAATTCACATTGTTCCAACTCGTCACTTTCATTTATAATGCTGTATACAAAATGCATGTTATATTTTTAGATTCTGAGGAAAATGAGGAAATTTTTTTTTTTTAAATTAAATTTATTACCTATCATGATAAAATATCATATTGAACAATTTATTATTTTACCAAAGACACAGTTGGAATTTTAAAATTAACAGTTTCAAAAATTGGGCCATCCAATTTCACTAAACCGTATTAATTTCTGTGTTTATACAACTTCATATTAGTTATAGTTGGATCCAAAAAATGTATACATTTATGTCACAAGTCATGACAATGACAAGAGGTTGCAAGAAAAACGATCTGTTAACAAAACAATGTCATAAACCACATGAGGTAATCTGTTGAATCCCTGTTAACAAACTGGTTAAATTTTTTTGTCAGTTGGTTAAAACGGGTAGTATGAAATACTTGATAAACAACAATGTTTCTCAACCTCATTATTTTCTAACTTTGAACTTATTTATTTACATTTACACCAAAATGAGACCTAAGAGGCCATATTCACACAATCTAAATAAGTCTTTGTCTATTTTTATAAAATAAATTAAGACTTGGATTTAACTCTAAATTAAAACTATGCATGGCAGATTTTATCCATATTGTCAATATATTTTCTATTTAGATAATATATAATTGATAGTCATAACATTTTTTTGATTACCTATAAATATTATATGATATAATAGATCATATCATATAATATATGTATAATTAATTTCAATTAATAAGGAAACTCATATTATATCTGTTAGGATTCAAAAAGATCTAATATATATATATTTTTTTTTTATTGCAGGTGTCAGTTGGAGCAAGACAAGTATTTGACTTCCTTGGTTTCATGTGGGGATCAGTTTTAGCAAATTTTTTTGAATTATTGTTTATTATATTTGGTATATTTGGTGTGATACAGTCAGACGTATTATATTTGCTATCGGTATGCATTTTTAATAATTATTTAATTAATTCATCTGTAGATTCCAATTTTAAATTAATATACTTTCTTAAAAACTAAAAATGTTTGTATTAATATATTATAGTATTCAGCATGGAGTATTGTTTGGTGTATTTGGAATATATTTGTAGTTTTTTATTATTTGGAATTATCAATTTTTAGTAATGTAAGTATGAGTATGTTGAAATTATAGTTTATTGATAATAATTTATATTTTTGCTTTGATGTAGTTACTACAATGATAGTACAAACTTTTTTTTATAAGGCAAGACATACTTGTTTTTTTTTTTAAACCAGTGGTCTTTAATTTTTCATCTACAGTTAATGTACTATGAATTCAGGACTAGGAATTTAATGCCCTATAAAAAAAAAAAAATGCTTTTACGACATAAAAATTCAAATAGTGCACTAAAATACATATTTGATATAAATTATAATATTATAAATTCATTTTACTACAATGAACCGAACGATATAGTCAATATTATATTTTATAACAGATTATAAACTAAAAATACTACATGGATTTTGCCTTAGAAGTTAACTGTTTAACTCTCACTATTTAGTTTTTAACAGTATTATTGTCTGATAATATATATTGTATTATAAAATTTGTGTGCCTACTTAATAGTTTGTTATAATTTTATGAAAATCATATTAGAGTGTACAAATCTTAAAATAAAATTTTAAATTCAAATTTTGGGTACAAAAATTCCAAAAATGCATTCTGAAACTGTAAAATGATCTAAAAGATTAAAAAATTCACCAACACTAAACTTTCTTATTATAATTCAAAAGTGACAATATAAGCATGGCACAACAAGCTTTAGAAAAAAATGCAAAGTGCATCAAAATCCCAGCCCTAATTATGATTATTATATAATCACTTTTCTATGGATTCTAAGCAGAGGAAGATATAACTATTGTTGGATTATTTTTAAAGTAAAAATCTTTATTTTAAATGTAGAACCTAGAGAATTTACTGCTCAGTTTTTTTAGATTTTTAATTTATGATTAAAATTAAATTTCTATAATAGCTGTAAGATAATTACCCCATATAATTTTGCGTTACTATTGGATAAATAAACTTCAATTAATTTTTTTAAGTCTATATTTTTGATATTTATTAGAGCATTGATGTTATGAGCCTTGGAGCAGACAGTGTTAGTTGGTGGGAATCTAATGGTCCTGGTTGTAAAGTATTTTTTTATCCAAATCACACTGGTATTGAAGAAGATGCCATCAAGCCTGTTAGACCAGATTTGATCACTGGGTGTGTTGTGGACTATCAAAAAATTGAAACAGCTCAAGCATCACTACAAATTCTATTAGCCGTAAAATAACATTATTTATATAATATTTTTAAATTATATTTTATTTACTCATGAAAATAATAATTAATCTTTTCATATTTGTTTAGATTTTTGGTATTTTGTGCAGTTTGTATGTATCATGTTGTTCAAAATCCAGGGACGATGGTATGTTTTATAAAACAAGAATAGTAATTAAATATAATAAAATTAAAAAAACCTCTCTCACCCAGTACATAGCACATATGTGACATAAGCACAAGTTGGTGGTGGCTCTGGCGACATTTGTATAAGGGGCAGCATTTTTAGGAAAAAATGTAGGCAACATTGAATCTTGCTTGTTAATAGACTTACTATTCATTAACCATGGATTTGTGCTCCCATAATATAAAATAGTTTTATTAAATAATTATTTTCAATTTAAGCAATAATAAAAACTATTTTGAATGAACCTGAGTTTTTTAATTTAAGAGCTTGCTTGCGTTTTAAACATTTTTTTCTAGTGATTGTTTAACATTAACCTGAGAAGTCCATTGAATGATCTCTTTAACATGTTTATTTTTTTATGTATAAATTTATAGCACAAAAGAATGTTGATTATTTATTGCTTTCTAAAATTGTACACATTTTAAACCTACTTATTCTGCATGAAATTTAAATTTAATTTATTTTTTAATATTTCAAATTACTAATAGTAATGTTTTTTTTTATCTACATAAAATATATATCTACCTGTTTAAAATCATTTAACTGAAAATTATGGTTTGTTATTTATTTTTAGGAATTTATTATAAAAGCAAACAACCAAAAACTGTTACACCTATATACTCCATCGAATACAGTTCACGCCGAGGAGATGAAATTGAAGAAATAAGCACTGTTAGTGGCAGTGAAGGTATTATATTATTTTTTGTTGTAATACCAATATAAAATATTATATACATATTTTTTTTTTTTGATCAGATGGTGATTTAGATGCACAAAGTTCTCATGGTAAACCTATGACTCCAAGACGTGTAAAAAGACGAAGTGTAACATCAAGAGGTACCCTGCCACCTCCACATCAAGCTCCACCGCCATATCTTAGACGGCAATCCACTTCACAAAATTCTAGTCGAAGACATAAAAATCCAGTTTCTAGATTAATTCACCAACAGTATTCTAGTAAGTTTTAATAAATTAACTCCTTCTTTTATGTAGAATACCATTGTACATTGTGATCTAAATTAATATTTAAAAAAACCTATTATATTACAGAGTAAAAAAATGTTTGGTTAAATATTATTCATTAAAAGTATACAAGAGACTTTAAAATAATATCTTCTAAAACTATTATTGTATAACTATATAACCAATAAAATACTTTCTCTATTACTATAGTAAAATATTTTTTTAAGAGAATTATTTTGTTTTGAGTTTTTTTTTCCTATTATACCAGATTCATCATTGCAGCTAAATACATTATAAATAATTCCTACTATTTTTAATACAATTTACTTTAGATAACGGTTTGAACGATTCATCAACATCTAATGATTCAAGCCATCCTTTATTCCCGGAATGTCGAGTAGAACTGAGACATGTAAATCGAGGAATTGTTAATCCTGCTATGGATACTGAATCTGAACGTCCTACTTCAGCACGTTCAACATATTCAAATTTCCATGGAGCACGGGGTCGACCCAGACAAGTAAGCACTCATTCCACTTTTTTTGCTCCGTCTGAACAACCACCTCCTGCCTACCGTAGTAATGCTTCCGTTAATTCTGAAACTGTTATATAATTAAGAACAAAATGTAAAACTTGCGGTTCAAAGAAGATGAAATCTTAAGATCTCATTTTAATTTAAAATAGTTTAATTAATTAGTACTAATTTTTACATGCACTGCAAAATATAGTGTTTTTATGTTAATTATAATTGTATAACCAGTGGCGTGCGGTCATATTTTTCATTGGTTAAACATATAAATTAAAAATATTAATTTGATATAGAATATTGATTTTAAATTAGTTTATACATATATTTATTGTGTTTTTCACTATTTAATTCTTAATTTACTTTTGAATTATAAATATCTTCGCAAATTTTGTTTTATACAACAATAACAAAGAACAAAGGTTAGTATTAATGTCAAAAGAGATATTTTACTGGAACTGTTGAGTTAACCAACATGCAAATAATTACATTTCATTTTTTTTATTATTCAGCTAAAATAATATGATTTTTGTAACTATTTCTTTCATCAAATTCAAAAATTAACTTAAGTCAATATTTGTATTAAGTGTTTCTCATGATAGATTTATCTATTGGCTGTATATATTTGTGGTAAATTCAACTAAATTACTAAACTATTTTACTAAATTACTAGATAATATATAATGTAAGTGTAAATTGTATTAACTTTTTCATTATATTATATTTACTTTTCTTTTCCTTTTTACTGATATACTACCCTAGTACATAAACAAATGAACTCAATTTTAACACATTAAAAAAATATGTAAATAATATAGGATATATTGTATAGTTAATATATTGTGGTAGATAACTTAGGTGTTGAAAAAAAAATTGTGAAATTATACGATCAATAAATTCTAATGAATGTTTTTTTGTTATAGAATTATGAAATTGTATTTGATTTAATCTTTAAAGTAAATTATATTTACCTCGCGTGCCTTAAAATGATGAATATAGAGTACTTATAGAGTATTTATATTTATGTTAGTAAATCAAAATATTCATTCAATTATATACTTCTGAGTTTAAACAATTAAACAATTAGACAACTAAACAAGTTTAGTAAGTGAAAATTAAAATATTTTCTAGTTTATAGTAACAAAATAATCGATTTTGTCATTTAGATAAATAAGAATTCAAGTTATTTCATATATTTTTGTAAATCAGTATTTTTAACAAAAATATACTAGTTATTGCAGAATAATTATTATTTTTTGTCTATAATTCATCTAAAGAATATATTCTTAATTACAAAATTATAATTATCCAAATTTATATAGTTCCTGACATAACATTTTATATGCAGTAGTTTTAATAATAGACCAAGGACATTAACAAATCAAGTTTCTGTTAAGCAATTTAGATTTAGAATTTTTTTTTTTTTTTATTATAGTTAGTTTATTAAGTTTTAATTAGCCATTTTAGAAAAATGTCTATTCATGTATACGAATAAAATTCAATATATTGGTTTGATACATATTGTATCTACTGTTTAAATAACTACCATAACGAATACCTTAATTTAAAAATATATTATTAGTTATATTAAATTAATTAATGTTAGAAGAAATTTCAGTATTTTAATATTGTTACCAAAACCAATTATTAATTATACGAAACTATGTAAGATATGGCCGAACACATATAAATTTTAATTTTAATTAAATATTAGTTGTCTAAGAATTACGAAACCAAATGTATTGGTGAGTAATTAATTTTATTCAATTAAAGTAAAATTGTATTTAAACTTCTTACTCTAAGTACAAATACAATTTATTTAGTATTGGTCTAAAATTATTCCTTTATCAGAACATTTGTGTTCCGTCCAGTCTACAACTTATTTTATAACTGTATTTTTTTTATATATATTTTTGTAACATAAATTTTTGTATTTTTTAAATTAGTTTTATGTATACCTATATATTATAATTTAGTTAAATTTATTGTTCAAACTTTCAAAGTGAAATTAAAACTAAAACATTGTACCTACTTACAATTAAAGTATTAAATGTATTTGTATTTATTAACAAAGAAATTTACAAGATTGAATTAATATTAAAATGTTTATTGAACTATATATTCAATATGTATTTAAATGACTGATATTAACATTTAAAGTGTTTTCTATAATATTGTATATCTGTATTTTTATATAAAATAGGGGTACCTAAGTAATTTAAGTAATTTTTTTATTTTTTACTTTAAAATTATAAATTTGATTTGTTTTATTAAAAAAAAAAAAAAAAAAAATTTCATTCAGTAGTTTTTATTTTACAGCAAATTAAAAAACAAAATATTTTGTTTTTTTTTTTTAACCAGATTATACCATTTGATGTGTAACTTGTTGTTCATAAAGAAATCACAGAAAGTAAATCTTATTCTCCTACTACAATAGTAATAATATTGTTTCTCATAAACTTATCTTGTCTATTGATATTACAATAGATCCCCGTCATGGTCCAGTGATTTAGATTTTAAAGAGTGATATTATTTTTTACATCAATAACAGATATAATTTCTGCAATTTACCCCCCTCTGGTTTATATTTTTCTTCCCCATTTTCTTCATTCATTTAAAACTTACAATATATTTTTTCTTTCCAGTTTATCTATAATGCATACAATTATGGAAAAATTAAAAAATAATAACTTGAATTTGTGTCTTATGTATAAAGAACAACTGGAGCATAGATATTATATTATAAGACTGGAGATAAAATAAACTATAGTAAAACTAATATGAATTGGGTTTAACGGAAACTATTCTATTTTATAAAATGTATTTCTAGTCAGTTAAATTATCAAGAGATAGAAAATTGTGAATGATAAAACGCGTAATTGCCGATCATATACTCCTAGCCACGGCTATAGATATTATCTATAGCCTTGCATGTGGCTCAAATACAAAATACAACTGGAGATAAAGAAAACTATGATGAAACAAAAATTTATACCAGAAACAATTTTATTTAAATTCAGTTATATTATTAGGAGGTAAACTTAGTGATAGAAATTAAAAACATGTTAGATAAAGCAATTGGTGAGACTAACTAGTTCTGACTACTGATTGTCAACCGATAGTTTTAAAAACAATTGAGTGATTTATAAATTTAATAGATATTTTAATAAAATTATCTACTGGATAGTCCATAGTTTTCTTTCAGTAGTATTGCCACCTACTGATTTAAAAAACTGAGTATGTTTTCGATAAAATACATCTAATTTTTCAAAAACTATCGAATGAATTCACTTGATAGTTTTGACTTTATTCAGTAGGCCTAAATAAAAAAAAGAACTGATATTCTTCACACGTGGGTGCAACAACTGTTGTAGGTGGGAAATTGGGAAGGTTACAGACAGGAATTTAATGTATATCTGTAAGCAATGATAAATTCTTCTTAATGAATAAACAATTTTGAGTGGAGTTCAGTTGATATTGTTGTTATGTCAACAATATATGTCATATAGTAAAATTATTACAACAATGTGCGTTTCCATAACAACAATGATTGTTTAAAAATGATTAAAATAATAAAAAATATGTACTATAAGCAACGATAAACTATTACTTACGAAAAAAACGATTTTGAGCGAAGTTCAATTAATAGTGATACTTTGCCAACAATGTATAATATGTCATACTATAGTAAAATAATTAAATAGGCCTTATATATTTTTCTTAATAATATTTGTTCAATGTTATATCAATTTTCTCATGTTTTTTCCTGATTTTCACATTTGTTGGGTTAACTGCTAAGAAAATCAAAATATGACCTCCCTAAAGTACCTTTACAGTGAAATGTCCTATTAGAAACATTGCATTAAAAGTTGGAGAAAAGTTATTCACAAAAAAAAAATAAATAAACATTTTTGTAAAACCATAAGATTCTCTTTGCCAATGACAACCTTATTTTTAATCTTTCAATCTTTTATACCTAAAAAACCAGGTTTTTCTCATTATCTTGAATATTAATGAGAATTTTAAAAAGTGACTGTTCTAAAGTACCATCCAGAAAACATTTCATTTCAGAAAAGGTGCTATAATTAATAATCAGAGTAAGCTTTCTGGCAGAAAGTTTTCACATAAAAAAAATAAACATCTTTATAAAACTCAGAATTTAAAATTGATCATAACAGGAAATATTTTATTATGATAAATCATCTATTTAGAAGGATCCATAATGTCTCTTTGGCACGTGAGACGTGACTTCTTAAAAAATTGGTTCAAAGATGGTCAACGTTGATAATTTTTAGACACAAATAGATAGTTTGAACTAAATAGTAGTTTGATAGTTTTCATTCGGTTAGGCGCATCCATAGTTAGACAAAGATAAAATTGTTGTGTGCTTGGTAAGTATGACTGGGATACATTTTCTATTCTGGGTGAGTGGTAACGAGTTAATTACTTAAATAGGTATATTTCTTCGAATGAATAAGGAAAAAGTAAGTAATTTTCACACTGAAGAAAAAATAGATTCATTTAAAATTTGAATATAATTGCACAGACATAAATTAATCAAAATCTAGTTTACAATTACTGAAATCTTAAACATTATGGTTAAATATATTTAATTCAGTCTATACAAACATAAGGATAATTAATGTAGTAAAATGTAACATTATTCGTATTTATATTTGGTAGAATAATAATTTATAAATTTACACGGAGGAATAATTAAAATTAAATAGTAATAAGTAGGGCTCAAAAATGATTGATTGCACTATTGCTCTTAAAATATCTTTAAATTACAATAAAAATCCAGTAAAAATAAAAATACAATGCAATTAAAATTTAAACACCCAAGTGTAATAAGGACTACAATAATATAGTTGGGCTTAAATTTACATTAGTGAGATGCAAGCTGTTATGAAATATTTATTCAACATATAAAATAAAAATTTACCTGCCTTCTTAAAAAAATATAAATACAATTTTACTAAAAACTAAATATCTATAAAAAAAAATAAATATACATCAACAAATAATACCAACATTTTATTCTATTTTTAATGTAAATTTGATAATCTTACTGTAGTGAATTTCATTTTCTAACAAAACGTTGCTAAATCAATAAAACTTGAGCCCCAATAATAAGTAAACATAATGAGAAAATATGGCCAATATATTATATTATTATTAATTATTATTAGAGATGTGACGAACTGTTTGATTTTTTAACCAAATCGAAATACCTAATAGTTCAATTTTAAAATCATTTGATGACTATTCTATGTGGCAACCAATAAGATGTTCTGTGATGGGACAGAACGGCCTTGTTACAAAAAAGAAAATTTTTATTTTTTTCGCATTAGTGGATCTCATAATCGTAAATCACAAAGCCGGACAGTTTGAGAACCTAGGTTTTTCACCTAACTTAACCTTTTCACTTAGTAATGGTCAAGTTTGATAACATATTTTAAAGAAAATTTGGTTCATTTCGACCTTAAAAATCAGGGTTCATAACATCTCTAACAATTATGTGAATACATTTCTGACTTAGGTCACCTTTTTTAAAAATATACAGGCTTATTAGATATGTATAAACAGTTATGGTACTAGTTATAATTTGTTAACTACATAAATTTATTTAATTTTTTTTATTTATATATAAAACGGGCTTATGCCCTATCAACAAGTACATAGGCAATAATTAACAACAATTAATACTTGTGTAAAGAGCCATTATGTACAAGATTTATAAATTGCGGAAAGAAGGATCCTCATTTGACATTTTATTGGTTGAGCAGAAGAATGTGAAAGAGTTTTACGGTGCGTATGAAGTGAAATTAACAAGCGAATCAATACTAGAAAGAATACGATTTGTGAGGAATGATAATTGATAAGTTATGAGAGTATTGATAGTCTGCTAAGGAATATGATTTGAGATTAATGAGGATTGGGAGAATAATCATGAGGAGGGCAAAGGATTTGTAAGGTGTAACTTGTATAGTTGAAGAACTTTCTTAGAATGCTTTCCAGTTAACAACTTGAATCCGCGCAATAAGGATTCTAAACCATAGAACTATATTCAAAAGTCAGTCTAAAAAAAATCAGTATAATATAAGGATTTAAGTGAATTGGCCAACTCAAATTCAATTGAAATTCTCTTCTAATGAATCCCAATAATCTATTACTATTTCATACTTGACGTAAGTGAAAACTATTGGAGACCAGACTACTGGTGAAGAACATAGAACAGCAGTTATTAAAATCAAGTGTCTAGCCAAGTATTTCACCCTATCTGACAAATTTATAAAGATCGTTTAGAAGAAAGAAAAATATTCTAAGAAGTTCACTCTCATATATAATTTCTTGAGTTAAAGCATAGATTTTGTGCAATTTACAAAAAAACAGAGAGAATGAATGATAGAAAATCAGAAGATAGCAGTACAGAGGGGGCAGCTGACCTCTCTCTATGACACTTTAGAAGTAGTAATAAAGGGATTAGACTGCATATAAAAAAGCTTTCCCCACTGAAGCCAGTACATTAAAAAAGATTCAAACCATATTAGAAGAGGGTCACCAAATCCAGAAGATAGCAGTACATAGAGAAGAACTTTGTGATTAACAGAATTCTTTTTAGCATTCTATCAACCTGCGTTGAATTTATAATTACAGAAATTACAAGTGGTAGTCGAACGACTGTTATTATAAGGTAAGTAAAGTTACGATCAAGTTATTATTGTATTAAGTTCAAACCATTATCAATTTTAACATTTCCAAGAACTTAGACAGTAACAATTATTATTCTAATCAGTACATACAATAATTAATAAAAAGAAATTTTAAAAACAGTATACTTGATAGGAGATTTAAATAAAACGAACCAAATTTGGACGGACATAAACTTGTTTAACATCAAATATGCAGGTTATGAACAATTTCGTCTATGACCTGCCGCTGTAATTGCTATAAGTGATCAACGTCTGCCATGGTACCTCCTTTCCATGCTATCGTAATACAATAGTGTGTTAACAGCTGTTGAAGTAGTTCCAGTTCGTCAAGCATTTCTAATCTTTCCATACGATATCTATCATCTTCAGGTAAGTATTCATATATATTTGTCATATTCCAACTACGTGCACTATCCCATCCAACTCTAACAAATCTATTGAAATTTAAATAATATGTATTAATTATAACACTGCTATAGTAATAATTGTTTGATTATCAAACCTGTCCATTTGTGTTTGAGTACTGAAGCAGGCGTCGACACCGGCAAACTGACATCCTCTGCTGCGTAAGTTATCAAGCATAATACGTGCAAAATTATCATTCATATTTACCTACATGATACAAAATTATATACAACATATATTTTCTCATGTAGCTTTTCAATAACATACTGGTTCGTAATTAACATAAAAAATATCGCTGAACTTGTTAGCAATCCATTGTAACAACATTGATGAACATTCTGGTTCCATATAGACAAGTACGCATTCGGTCAAAAACATTGTGGGCACATCAAAATTTATTCCGACTTGACATAATTTCTTTTCCAGTTCTGAAAGATTTCTCAGATCTGTACCAATTATATGATAATTGTAAGCATGTAACTCTGATCCAACAATTCTGACTTCACTTACTTAAGAAAAAATAATAATATTTACAAATGCACATAGAATGAATAATCTAACCACCAATCACGTACCTTGTGAGCTAATGGCATCTAATAAAATTTTACTTTTCTTGATTAAAAAACATTTTTTGGATGTAACTGAAGCAAAGTCTACTTCTACGTAGTTGTTTATACTTATTCCACTGTCTTTTAGTCTCCAGTATAGTGTGTCAAACCCGGCGCCAAGGTTAATGATCTGGCAGTTTGATCCGGTTTTCTAAAAAAAATTAAACAGTTCAACAAATGTACAAACAACCGGCGAACACTATGACCGGTCAAAACGATCGTGCACCTTGAGAAACTTGTCTATAAATAGAGCTACGCCTTGTGTACGGGCATAATACCCTCGGTTGATCTCCGGTGTTTTCCGTTCGTAGCCGGTAACGAAATATTTTATGTAATCGTCTTTCCAGTAGCCCATCTTCACGGCCGAATATTTGCACTTGGTCGCATCACAGTTAGTCGCTTGGACTCCCTCGTCGAACGACATTTTACAATATTATTGCGTTTAACCGTCCGCGAATAATTCGCGTTTATTAATGATAATAAATAATAATAAACTGACACCGAACACAATTAAACGATATGATAGGTACTGCAACAGAGTATCACTACTATAGAATAAAAATATAATCACTACTACATGATTTTTGTGTCACTTTACGTAACATATTGTAATTATTAAAAAAAAATCAGAAATCCGCGATTCGGATTCCTGTTGGGTTGATTATGTCCATAATAAAACTGTTATCATGTAAAATATTATCACAGAACATGATATTATACTAATCTTAAACTATGATTATAATTTATAACACGAACACAACTATTAGACACAGACGGGAGCGCGTTAAACAACCGAAAAATATTTTGACCGAACCGTGTGTAACTGGAGTGGTCTCAGTTTTTGATCTGTCAACTAGTGCATTCCTAAACGTTTGTTTTAACTGGAATCCAGCCAAGTCCGGTCCATACGGTTTATGCCGATGAGGTTTCAATTGTTGTATTGTGCCCATTTGGTAACCTGATTGCCGTACCATCACAATAAATGTTTGGATTGGAACAGGTATAATAACTATAAGTAAAATGATTCATTTGTATGTATTTGTTGAATCTGGTTAAGTGGACTTGATAAATTTTGCCAAAAGCTATTTGTTTAATTTGCCTATTTTTCCCCTTTGTTATATATTTTCAAATTATACTTGCGTTACACCATTTTGCGTTTTGTTGATTTTTGAAGTAAAAATGAGTATAAGAGATATAGCACACTAGGTAGGCATGAGTCACAATAACATTAGCCTAGTGGATAAAATAAATGTTAATGTTTTGACAAATAATAAAAATACCGAAATAGATTGTTTTGTAATCTATAGAGATAAAATAGATTTTCTGTATTACAAACAAACTACTTCTAAATGACATTATTAATTGTATAGTCAAAACAATAGTTTAATTATTTTTAAAATTGCATTTATTCTGTCCTACTGGGATTATCAGATTATCAGATATTTACAATTCATAATGCATATAGATTAGATTAGATTTAACACGAAGATAATTTTTGAAACGTGATCATTTGAAAATTTGTTCTTCAGTCAGTCTCTTGAATTTCATGTGGCATATTGGCTATAAGAACACGGGTTCTTTTATTTTTTCCGTAAATATTCCAAAAAATACATTATTTTTAATTTTTTAGATGCAATTTCCGTTATCTTTTAGTGCAATACTGCAATCAATTTTATTACTTTTTGACTAGCTACTACAACATCTGTATCCTAGTAATAATTATAATATTATTGAAATGTTGGACAACATGTTTGTTCAACTCGTACAAAGATCTTATATTTTGTATAAAAAATAACTGATTTAATTCTAACTTGATGGTTTATTATAAGGAACCATATAATATGAACATCACACAAGTGTAATATTTCAAGAGACAAATGCATTAGTTACAAGAGTACAAAAATATAATTGTATACAAGTACTTTTTTAAAATTATAAATTGTTATTAACAATCAACTTTAAATGAACTTTTTGTAAATAATATTTAGATGATTTCAGTAATAAAATAATCAATCCTATTAGGTTTTTTTGATTAAAACTTCAAAATAATATCAATTTAATTGTAGATTTTTTTATTGAAATTTTTAACAAAACAATAACAAAATTATTAAAATGGTTAATACTTGTAAATAAATGTATAAAAAAAAAATGAATTAATAAATGTGTTAAAGAGTATTAAGATAAGTGAATACAACAGTTTTCGAATTAAAAATTCATCATCGGGTATATTAATAGATTTTTGACTAATATCAATTATCTCCAAAGATGGATGATTTTGAATTGCTAACATAAACATAATGGCTAAATTTATGTCACGATTTTGTCCAGCACACGTGCCACAATATTTTATCAAATGAGTAATTGAATTATGTATTTTTTCTAAAACATATTAATATGAAATTGAAGCAATTTGGTTTGATCCACGTCCAGCCAACCCTTCATGTTACATATAACATATAACATATGTGTCTTTGAGTCCGATATCTCGTATGGTTTCAATATATGTCCAAAGGTGGCGTTTATAGAAAATTACATTTGTTTTCAAATTTAGGGTGAGCAGACATTGCTGGAAATCAAAAACGATTACTTTAAGAATAGGAATTGTACTCAATATTTTTTTTATCTTCTTGTTTTGCTCTATATGCTACATCTACCATATTTTTGTGATTTTGATTCATGGTACTTAAAAGCTGGAACTCTTCACCATTAGAATGTTTTGATTTAATCTTGTATTCATCACATGTTTTACATATATCAACAAACGGTAATTTAAACTTAAGTCCTGTCTCTGCAAGCACATTCTTATATAGCCAATTTGATGGACAACTTTTTAGAACATTGTTCTTTGTACAGATCAAACATTTACAATATTCAAATTGTTCTGGGTCTTGTATCACATGTGCTGATAATGACATGAAGTTTGGTATAGGGCGCAAGTCGTAGGATTTTTCTAAAAAAAAATTAAAAATATAATAGGTACCTAAACATTATAAATATTATATATTTTTACTATAATATCTTATTATATTTATAAAGTTCTAATTAATTAAAATATTGAGACATAATATGATTAACATACCTATATTACATTCATTATTGGTGTTTTGGTAAGGATATTGCAACGGTAAATCTCTATTGCTGAATGCATCAGTATTTACATTCCTGAAATTTGTATGAAAATACAAAAGGAGAGAAACTAAATACAATAAAAAAAATATTAAAATATACCTATCTTCATTTGTAGGAATACTTGGTAAACCTTCAGCTAACGCTAAAGTCGACAACTTTTTACTTCTCGGCATTTTATTTAAAATAATTGACTATAAACAGTGAACACGTCTTATAACAAACTTACAAACAACAATTTTAAACAACTTCAACAATTAACAATTAAATTACTTAAAATAATAATATATTATGTTTATAAAAACTGATAATAATTAAATATAATGTTATCAATATACCCACGTAGGGATATTTATTTTTAAAACACTGCCATGGATTAAATAATATTTATATGTACATGTACCTTAGATCGTATGGCCTATGATATTTACTCTGTGGCACTGCCAGCGTAAATGTGTAACGTTTTAAAATAAAAGCGTGATAAACGTTATTGTGAAAATTATGTTAAACAACGATAAGCGCTATTAATAAAACCGGACGATGAAAAACACGGTTTATATCGCTAATAAAACAAACGGTTCTCGTCGGTATTACCTGCAATGGCTACTCGGAATAAACGATACGGTTACCCCATCTCGTAGATTAATAATCGATTTTTAGTAGTTGTTACTGCTAACTACAGCAACCATTGATAGGCTTGCGCTCGGGTGGCGGGGCGGGCAGCTGCCGTTCCAGCGAGCCAAATTTTTCTGCCGAAAACTGAAATTTCAATTGTTATTCTGGCCTTTTATTAATAAATAAATAATTGGGAAAACCCGAAGTAAAGGTAAAATTGCAGATATTCACGGCGCGGCGTTGCGGTTTTCATTGTTTTTATCAATGTGTAAACACGATGTTTCTCCGACAGAAATATTGCTTCGATCCAAAAACGACAACGCGATCAATTTTGTTCCTCGTGACATTGCAACACTAACGGTACAAGCCGTTTTCGACGTCTAATGTATTTTTCGTAATAATCGGAAAAAACCAAAAACGAAGGAATGTACGATTTTTTCCCCGTTTACAGCTCAACGATTTCATTATTTTAAATTTGTATGGCTAATTATTTTATGCCATAAATATTGATTCAATACGAAAAAACATCAGGATATCTTTTTTGTTGTATTCGTAATCTAGTTGATGAACAAGAAAGTCGTTTTTTTTTTTTTTTTTTGATTTTCTTTGCAGTTTTTTTAATAATCGAACAAAACCGACAAAAAATGCAGAAAGTTCGGAAAAATGTACGAAAATAATTATTTTATTATTTTAAATATTGTTTTTTAATGGAATTTTGTTTAATATATTCATAATTTCGACAGAAAACTTATATTTGATTTTTATAGACGTGGACAAATTTTCAAAACATTTGATCCAATTTTGAGCTAATCATAGACCTTTTAATTTTGCGAGTTTTGTACATAATTTTTATTTGCTAGGTACTCTGTGGATAAAATTGTTAGACTAAACAGAAATGCTTGAAAATTTAACAAGAGGTTTCCTAAATGCCGTACTACTTGGTGGTAAAAAAAATGTTTTAACTTTATATAGTATTTTTTTAATAATGGGATTTTAATATCAAATTTTGACGAAAATCGTAAATATTACGGCCTTTCTAAACACGTGTAACCGAACTTCGCCCCGAATCGTTTTTCGTTATCAATGGTACATCGTTGGTTACAAACATAAATTAAATAACTTTATGTAATCTCACCTTCTCCACTACCCACCTATAACGGTGGCCGCACCCGTCTCCCAGTATCCGTTCTTTTTTTTTTTTTTTTTCGCCCTTTTTTTACTTATTAATGCCTCTTTTGACGGTAATGATGATTTAATAAACAGTAATATTAATTTAGATAATTATTTATGTGTGAAATACGCCCCCGATAACTTCAGTGGACGTAGAAAGATCATTTTCTGCGTACATAAATATTTTGAGTACATGCCGTTAACGTTTTACTGAAGACAATTTGTCCAAGTACAAACTGGTTAAATCAACTGAAATATATTAGATTTTATTAGTAAATTTTTGTAATTGCTTTTTATGTTTAACTTTACTGTGTCTTCAAATTCGTACCTCGCTTAATAGACAATAACCAAAATAATATTTAACTATACATTACATAATAGGTATATTTCGCCTCACTATCAGCAAGGTCTGCGCAGACGCCTATGTAATCATTAATTGGGCATACGTAATCAATGCTGCTACCGTGACTGGCGACTACTATCAATTTGAGAAAATGTTGAAGTATAATATATTATATTATTATGTCCACAGTGAATCATTAAAACCTAGGTAGTTATTTTAAAATAGCCGTTTCTAGTAAGGTAACTGTGTCGTTCATTCCATATAGCGAGGTGTATTTATACACCTAAATACACCTTGCTACATAGGTAGGTAAGTACTGATAAGAACCTTTTACGAGTTCATGATGCGAACCGTTTATTTTATTACCGATATAAACGGTTTTTTTTTTTTTTTCACAATCTGGTTTAATGAAAATATACAAATATGATAATCGTCCGAAATAAGTACTTATCAGGTTTTGACCCAAAAACAAAAAAATACATCAATTTTGATTAGTGAAATAATCTCACAAAATAATTTGTCCTTTCACGAAAGACGTCATATAGTTTTTGCTATAACTTCTTTGACATTGGGGCTACAAATATCTTGTTTTGACACAATGAAATATAGAACTTAAACATCACTCATCATGCATAATCTCAAAATCGCATTTTTGCACTTAATATCATGGTTCGGCTTTCAACCACAGAATTATATTAACGGCCATTATCTAGTTTGTGTATAATAAATCTAGATCGCGCTAGTAACTTTGCCGCGGCTTGAGGTCCTGGTCTCACTTGTTAATCGTTCGTTTCGTATCCAGCACGGATTAAGATGACTAAGATATACTTATTACTTATATCTCGTCTGTGGTATCCAGTATATTTTAATCCGTGCACATACGAGGCGGATTAATCCGCCTCGTACTCATAGATTATTATAATCAAAGAAAAATTGATAAATAACAACAAAAAATGTATGGTACAAAATAGTTTTTTTTTTTTTTTGTTTTTATTTAAGTGTTGTACAATCCGTGAAATAATATTTACAATAAGCACAAGTGAAATAAGTTAACAGTTTACATTCTTACAATAGGCGTGAGCGAAGGGGCCAACTAATGTTGGTACATCAGGGTCGAAATAAATTTGAAATTATTTTAAACTTAAAAAAGCAATGCTACTAAGTATGATATAACTTGAAAAGTACATTAGATTAATCATGAATAATTTTGATTTGTATTATTATTGAAAATGTAATTGTAACAGTTGGTCATAATATTTTTAATGAATAGGTACCTAATGTTTAAATAAATTGAAACGTATATTTTTTTTGTTTTGTCTTTTGTCTGCCTTCTTAGTTGAAATATTCAGTTATTATGACTGGCAACCGTGAAATGAAACCAGTTTGACCATTCAAGGTCACATTCTGAAGACCAATCTACTTTCCTGTGAATGTTTTTGACTACCTATAATATTGTATAAAAAAATTATTAAGTATTGTTATGTATGTACATATTGGTAATACACTAATACCTATTGGAAAAACTCAAAATCAACACAATTTTTGTAGATAGGTATCTGACCTAATCTGTTATAATCTATCTATAAACAATTTTCAATACAATTTTTGATATTCCCATTTGTATGCCAATTATCCCATGGATTATCTATCTACCTAAATGGCCGGAAAATCTTATCTTCAATTATTTATCTATAATCATCAAAAGTTCTATGAAATTTATTTACATTTACCCAGAACCACTAGGTCCTTCGTGGACCGTGATAAACAGTAAAATAGAATTTAGTGTACACAAATGAAAAACGGCTGTATTATTTCTTGATATTTTGATATTTTCCCCTAGATAATATGGGGCCCTTTTAGTTATCCGCATCATAATAAATAATTTCCTAATGAAATATTTCCTGAATATGCCCAAAAATCTTGTTCCACATTATATTGCGCTAGTGCTAATTGGATTGCGTATTGATGGGATTTGATTAAAAGCCAAATAGTAATCGTGTAGTGCGTTTTAATCTATTCAGTTAATTAAGCTCTATAGAGTGATTACAATTGATCAATACATTTTGCTGGTCGTAATCACGAGAGTGTAGTGGGAGATATTACACACAGGCTATTAAACAGTTATTATTTGTTACCTTGAACAACGTCTTGATCACAATAATTACTATAAAATTATTTATCTATTGATAAGTTGGTGCTGTATCAGACAATTATTGAGATAAACGAGGCATTAAGGAATTTTATTTTTATTGTTCAGAATTTCTTATTCGGTCAATTATATTTTTTTGTTCCATCTATTTTATTTAATATTTTTAAGTTTTAGTTGTTTACGTACACATAATGGTTCAATCTTGGTTCATGTCTGAAAATTGGAGCGGTGACCAACGGGAGCCACACCACAAGCAGCCGCCTGAATATGTCGATTTGGATACTTTATACAAACTCACTCTGGTGGAACATTTCAAAGTATTTACACCATGTTTCATTGTTTTTTTAACTTTTAAAAAATTATCGCTACCTAATATATAATAGTCACAATATCTGCTCTCTCAGTAATTTTCTGTCTCTTATATATAAAAAAAATTGTATTATTTATGAGTAAGTAGTTTTTAAGCCCATAAGAAACAGGCTCTTAAAATATTACATTTTTAAAGAATACAAATAATCTAAAAATTACATAACCCAACCTAACCTGTCTCTTGTCTTTTGACTCTATTCTTACAAGTTTTTATCAGCGGTCTTGAGCTACCATAGTAAATTATTTTTAACAATCATTGTATTGTAAAATTAAATTCAAACCATTTTTCAAATATTATGTATTTTTAATGTAAAATTTACATTAACAACATAATAAGTTTTAAATCTCAAATATATTCTTTACAGGTTAATGAATCAGATCCTGTGAATGACAAGTTATTAAATTCAATCAAAAAAGACCGAGGTTATTCTTATGAGGATGAGATTACATGTTCCAAAGAATGTCTACCAAATTATGAAAGTAAAGTAAGCACATGATTCCAAATATATTTAATAGTTTATTAAATTATTTGAACGCTACTTCTATTGTGTGGATATTGTCCATCAGTTTAAGAATCAACTGCGTCAGTTTAGATATTCTGGTTGACTTTTCATTTTTGACATAATAATCAATGAGTGTTTCTTTTAAATAATTAAAATAAAAATAATTTATTGTCGAAATAATGTTCAATAGTATTAATATTTTTTGTTTATAGTTAAAGATGTTCTTTGAGGAACACTTGCATACAGATGAAGAAATCAGATTGGTTCTGGAAGGCTCAGGCTATTTTGACGTGAGAGATGTAAATGACAAATGGATTCGTATTAAAGTTGAACCTGGTGATTTGTTAATAATTCCAAAGGGAATTTATCATCGTTTTACATTAGACACTAATGTATGTGCACTATAAGAACATTTTTAAAATTTCAAAAATTGAATACAAGATAATATATTTTTATTTTTTTAGAATTTTATTAAAGCCAAGAGATTGTTTGTGGGAGAACCTGTTTGGACACCGCATAATAGACCAGCAGATCATATGGACTGTAGAAAAGAATATTTGGGCCAAATAACATGTTAAATCAAAAAAAAAAAAATTCAAATTTAAGTATATCCATGTATTAATAGAATGTACCTTTATTAAAAAAAAAAAAAATATTTACACATAACTTATTTATGTGTTTGTATGAATTACATTTTCTAACAATAAAAGTAAACTTAGTTAAGTAAACTTTCAATAAATGTATTATTATCATGCTAGTTCGGTCCTATACTTCATCCAGTATTGGGGCTCTGCCAAATCTTCCAACCTAACATCAATCCAGGCCTTGGAACCAATTTTTCTTTCATTAAATTAACTCAGTTCTTGGCTCATTGAAAATAATAATCTCAACAATAGGTAATATAAAAATTTCAACGTTTACTTAACTACACATTACCTTTCATTTCACTCTAAATTAATTCTTCATAAAAATCCTCTTACTAATCATCTATCCTCCCGCTCACTTCTTGACAACCCCCAAGACATCTCAAATAAACCTGGCCTAAAGATTTATTTTAGATAGTTTATTAGATGATACAACTGAGTGTCTACCAAATTCTTTTATTACCGCCAAAATTGTATTGTTTTTTCTATTGTTTATTGTACACACTACATGATTAATTTACTTTAGATTGTATTATAAATGGCTTTGTTATATAAAAACTAAAAACTAATTTATTGGTATCTACCTATAACATAATATATGAAAAAGGTAAAAGAAAAATACAGAAATAATTATTTTTAATGGTTTTTTATTAAAACCTGTATGATAGGTATGAATCGCTAAATAATTAATATAGACATATAGAAATAATATATGTTCAGTTTTGAAATTATTAGCATTGTATTTTTAAATTGAATTGTCTGAAGGGAACATTTTTTTATGATCGGTACCAAAAAATTAGCACGAAAAATTAGTTATAGAGTTTGAGAAATGTATTGGTTGTATGTAGTGTAGATACTGTGTTTTTTTTTTCTTAATAATTATAAAAAATAAAATTATTATATTATTTTTTTCCTGTTTGTAAATAATTTGTATAAGTAGCAATAACCATCAGCAAGTGTATCTAGCATATTTTGTCAGCTTGTTGCATTGAGGAGATCATTTTTTGTGTTTTTATTTTATTTTTGTTTATAATAAATTGGAAAGTGGATACAATAAAGGTATTACTTAGGTATTTTTTGTTGCAATTCAGTTGAAAATAATCGTTGAGACCTAAGGTTTTCTTAGAATATTTAAATGAACCCTTTTAAACCAGACACAATCCAATGTTCTAAACATTGAGCTATTTAAAGGCATTTGAAATTTACATGTTTTGGTTTTAATGTGGAAAAATCGTTTTGGCTAAGCAGAATTACATTGAAATTTAACACGAGTTTCATCATTAATTGTACTATTAGAGTTCATTTAAAAAAAAAATTTAGCAGATTTTTCTATAAATGTTTTAAGTTCAAATATTTCCGAAATTCTTAGAAAATCATGGTATTTCATTAGTTGATAAACGTTTTTCATTGTGAACAATTTATCGTAGTGTACAGACATGAATTATTTATTAATTTATTTTTAATGAATTATTATTATTTGTAGGTTTATCCTACAATTTCTCTACTACACACTTACAGTTGAGTAGGTACAACTATCAACAGTATCAGCTCTTTTTTTTTGAAACAGATAACTGCACCCTTGTTACACGTTTTTAATTTTAAACGGATTTTACCTAGGAACTTTGAAAATGTATAGTTTGTGTTCCTAGTTTTTAAAGGATTCTTAATTAAAGTATTATAATATATAGCTGTCGGTCGGCGCTTTTCATCTGGACGGTTTTATAATAGTCAATTATAATATAGTTATAATGGTATTTGGTGGGCAGGTATATTAAACTGTATAATTTGGCCGATCAAGCAGAACCGGCATAATTCTATTAAAATTTTCGTAAAAATAGAATAGGTAAATAGTGTAATAACATAATCATAGTGTTATAATAAAAGCGGACGTGACATAATAATAGGACGGCCAAGTAGTTAAATCGCCGTTATACCCTGTCGCTAGTATTTTGGCGGGTTCGAAATATGTCGACTGCGGCGTTTTCTTTTTCTGTGCAAGCGGACGCCCGGGGAAAGGACGCCCGCCCAACAGTTTTGTAGGCTGGCAGCCAGCAGCCGTAATCCCGAGGATCGGCCAAAACGAAAACATCTAAAGCCGGTCGGGAAAATGCGAAAAAAAAAATGAATAAAACATCGTGTAGGTAAATATAACATTTTGTCACATACAAAGTTTGCGGCATGCACAATTCCCGCGGAAATCGTTTATTTTTAAGTGGGCGGTGAAACAATATCAAATTTAACTTCAAAGAATCGCTAAAAACACACGCACGACGGTACAGGCGTAGGTATAAAAAATAACGAACTTCATATAAATTACTCCTGGGTACAAGGGGATTTGTTCTCGGAAAATAATTGGATAAAATTAAATCGCGCAACGCGTACGGCGCGAGGATAATATTAATTATATAATTCAACGTACCTACCTACCACTTCGTTCGAAACGAACATTCTAACGGAACAGACTTGTAATATTATTGTATACGAATACGGCCTTCTATAAGGGTGATAATCGCACTATCCGTGCAAGGGCCGAGACCGGTAAAAAAAACATGGCCTAAACACGTACCTACACGAATGATGAACGGACTATACGGTTTTTGTTGACGTCAACGACAAAAATTATATTCTTAAAATTTATTCCGAGATTAGCCGCCCAACAGTATAGGTATAACGTATACGTGACGGGCCGAGAGGCGGGTACGATTTTCGAGGTTTTAAAAATAATTTGTTGACACGTTGGAAAATAACCAAACCCCCGATTTACCTACGCAGCGGCCAACTATAGCTGTAAGCTTATGGAATAGTTACTATACAGGTACTACTCGTGACGCGAAAAATCCGTAGACGTGTTTTTATGCATTTTTTTTTTTTTTGCCTGCTGTTAGGGATATTTTCTCGACAAGCTGTCGTGCGTTGTATTCGGCACAGGTAAACATAGTAGTACGAGTACCTATATAATATTGTCAAAGATCCAACCGCGCGTCAATATCATATTCACGTTTCTCACTAACACCCGCGGCTATAACTATACAGGCTATAGGCGGAAAAAAAAAATGCGAAATTGTCGCTGCATAATGTACATCTGGGTTTTCGTGTTACGTTATGTATTTATAATATATATATATATATATATATGTGTTACGATCAAAAAACGAAATCGGGCAGATCTCAGAAATGTGAAAAATTGTAATTTATGGACGTTTACAGTTTTGCCCAAATGATGTTGGTCACTACTATACAGATTTCCCCGGAATAAAGCCGGTTTATGATGTTTTGCTCAAGTATCGTGGACATTTCGCGTTTTGCCCGGGCATTTTTGAGATTTGCGCGTTCCGGCGTTTACCCGTAATGGCCGTAACATAATATACATAATAATAATTATATTCACTTAGACAACTATACACAATAATATTTACAACAATTATAAAGCAATATTAATCTTCTTTCTCCAACAAATCAATCTATGATGACTATTGTTTGGACATCCATATCGATATCCCTTATATGTATTATAGACAAAAAATTGTCCTAGTTATATCATAATCACTACTTTTTGGTAACGCTGATAAAAATACCAAAGAAATAAAAAACAACACGGTTATAAATACTGTATTATTTTATAATAATAATTAATAATTATATTATTATTTTAATGGACATACTTCGCACGTGAGTATACCTACTATTGTAGTTAGGAAGTTGGGAAGGTATGGAGTTGAGGAGAATAAATTTATATCTGTATTCAATAATTGTAATCATGCAAACGTAAAACGATTCTTAGCGGAGTTCAATTGTACAAAAACAAAAATCGAATAATAAAAGCATTATTTTCGTACATTTTCTCGTTTTTTCCCAATTTTTCCTTAGCATATTAAAAAATGACTTCCCTAAGAAAATTACCTTTCAAAAAAAATACTACGCTTGCTACATCAGAGCAAGATTTCTGGTAAACCAGTTATTATGTGGTTATCAGGACATATTTTAAAATTTTTTAAGTTGCTACTAGTTTTTCTACAGTAAAAATAGTTGTGTTGGGTATCGAAAGTTGAAACTACCAAAACATGTCCTTGTTACCCACACCAAGCATATAAAAAAATTATATTTTCTTGGCTCCATTTAGGTGGTTTGTAGCGGTGTACAAAGTTAGTAAAATATTATTCTCCCGAACAGCAATGATCGCTTCAATAAAACCTAAAAAAAAACTTAAACCTCCAAGTTTATGTTCATTTGGTCAATAGAAAGTCGCTAAAAGTGTCCAAAAATACTGGTAAAAAGATATATAAATATATATAATAGACACAATACAGTTTCAATGGCCTTTATTATCGGAGATCAGTTTTTATAATAGTACGGTGCAGTCATAAGACTGATTAGTATGCCTTCAACTGTCAAGTGCGCTTTATATTTAGTAGAAGTGATTGGTAACAGGAGATTGTTTTACTTATATTATTATTATTTAAATCCTGATGGGTTTCTTCAATTAACACTAGCACCGTCTTAGTAATTTTAGAATTAGTTACATACCACCTAAAACATCGAAATAAATTTTAGTAATACATAAGAAAATAATAAAGCCACATTAAAAAAATGAATTTCATATTCTTGAGGTAACTTATAAATTATTATAATAATAACAATACATTGGGAAAACTACGGGTTTCAAAGTAGGTGAGCCAATTAAAGAACTTTGATAGTTCGTATCTAAGCTTGCGTTGACTCGCAGATTCTCGTAAATTACCAAATTAATACGAAGATTTTGCTATAGGTTTCGATGAAACCAGACGAAGTGGGGGGCCAACTTCATAGACGTGATCTCACACAGCTTTGTCCGTGACAAATTAAATATCAGTATATATATAACCCCTATTCCCCCACAAATCTCTATCGCGGTCTTTCTTTCTTCTTCTTTGAATTCTTTTAAAAAAGAGATTTTCTTGTCCATAACAACCAAATAAACTAAAAATAATAATTTTTTTATTTTTCACTTCACCTGGGTAACCAAGAAATAAATAAAAAGATTTGATTTTCGTATTATATAAGAACGAAATTCTTGTATGAGGTCCCTTTTATTAGGGTAATTTTTAAAAATCTCTTCTAAATACTTAAATGTCAATGCTATATCGATGATGTACCAAACTATAAGGAATAACTGTGCATAATTTCAAGTTTCTAGACTCAGTGGTTTGATCTGTACTACAATGAATCAGCCAATCAGTTAGTCAGTCAGAGAATGTTATTTTATAATAGATACATAGAAACTGTTATAATATGATATTGATAGAAACACAATATTAATGTTTCTTTATAAATATAAGTCTGCCGAAAAATAAATTTACAACATTTGCATATTTTTAGATAGACATTAATATAGGTACTTTAAGAAATAATATCAAAATGCCGCAAATGTCTGCAGAGTCAATAAAATTGAGTAATAATTTAATATAATGCATATTTATATATAATATCTATATATATATATATATGTATTATATTTAAATTCTATACCTTATTCCTGATTGTACCTGTTTGAATTTTAGTTGAATTTATAAAAATGCTCTTGAGTGTAGACGATGAAATAAAAAAGAAAACCGGTGTCTTAATGCAGTGCTACGATGAATTTAAGTCCATTCTCCAGTTAACCAAAGAAAAGTACGATCAAGCTGAGACTGAAAATAACAACGTCGTAATCGAATATCATAATAAATTAAAAGGTATTATACGTTGCAGAATATTAATTATTAGAGCACGGATGTTGTAGTAGTAAAAAACTAGTAAAATTTATTGCAGTATTACTTACTTGGTAATAAATTGAAAAGCCAAAAGAAAAGTTTCAAATGTAACAACACTCGTGCCCTATTAATTATTATTATTTGTAGTCGCAACCGGGTCAGAAAAATAAAGTCAAATTATTTCCATTGTTCCGCATGTTTAAAATTACACACGTGTTAGTTTTAAAAACTGTGAAAATCCTATAATGTCATAATATTGTTATTTTTTTTTCTATCAGAATTGAACGATAAATGCAATGAAAATAAAATATTACAAGAAACGATTTCAGAATTGAAAAGTCTAACCGAGACGAACGAGAAAATCGAACAAGAAATCGAGTCATTGAATGAGGTTTACGAGAAAAATATTTCAGAAATACATCGTATGTTTCTGGTATTTTCACGTGTAAAACATTTTACATTACGATCATTGACCATGCGTTTAATTATTATAGGATTCGAAGAAGAGAAGTCGAATAATTCACAAATATCGTTTAGTAAACCACCGTTGAACTTAGATTTAGATGATGAATTTCTCGGTTTTGATTCAGTAACAGTATCTCAATCTGTAAGTTATTATTTTTAATTTATATGTTATTATTATTATTGTTATTATATGTTTTTAATCATTTCCTGTAGGAAACGCAGATCGGTTCCCACAGATACGAATCGTATAGAATTTTTTATTATAAAATTAAAAACGATTCGATGGAAGTAAAAAATGCCATCGATTCCTTGCTAAAAATAATGAACGAAACGTATTCATCAATTGAAATGGAAATACATAAACTAGATACAGTAAGGTGTGTTTATTCGCTGACAGTCATACAATTAGGAGCGTTCCTTTCCAATTTAAATTTAAAACAATCTGATAAATACGATTTTAAACGTGTTTAATTTAATACCTACTGCGCTGAGTGTGTGATGTTTGACATAAATATGGTATTGGGTTTTTAAAAATAATTTTTGTAAATTTAACAGAGAAAAATTAAATGTTAAATTTTACATTTGTTTGATTTATAAGTTCCTCCTTCGAAAAACACTTTATTATCATTGAAAACGTCATTTTTAAACGTTGAACAATATTGATAAAAATGCCATCAATAACACAAATCCGATACCTAATAATTAGGGACCGGATTTATGTGCTCTTAAAATTCACAAAAAAGTGCATAAACACATCAAACACACAAAAGCCCTGAAAAAGCACTTCGATAAATTTTAAAAAGCAAAAACAGTAGAGAGATTTAAAACTCTACCCCTTTATTATAAAATAAAATTGTACTCTCCAAATAAAAATAATTAACACAAAGTATTTATTTTTTATAACATTTTAAGAATGATACGTATCCGGTCTCTACTATAATGAAACATAATTATTTTATTTTAAAAATAATTAATAACAAACAATACAATAGGTATTCATACTAAGGAGGATAATAAATATAATTTTAGCCTTTATTAGGGAAGAAAACCTAATTTCATTACACATATTTTATGTAATTAATTGTAATCGATAACTATTAACTTTAATAGTTATATTAATTAATTGTTTAACATTAATAAAGGTTAGATATCAAATAAATCAAAACTCGAAGATTATTAGCGGACAGTTTGAAAGTATTTTCCAAGGCGATCAAGATGCCTTTGACGATGTAATATTGTAATGTATATTTAAAATAATAAACAAATGATTACTGTTCAGTAACTGAACAGTTATAGTTATTATAGGTAGATATCTAAATATGTTACAGTTAGTAAAAAGACGATGTGTTTGGGAAGAAATCAAATTGAATCTGGTTCGCCATTTGGATGAATTGGAGTCGGACATGATGAGAATGGGAAATCGTGTTAAAAGACCAGTGCGATTTCCCAATAACACGACATATCGTTGTAATTATTCTAAGTCACATTTAAAAAATAAGCTTTCCATTCAACAACTATTCAATATATGGAGTAAATTGATCGAATGGACGCAGCACGGGTAGTCTCGGAAAGTTCGACCGTTACATTTTTATTATTATTACATATTTTCATATATTGAGATGGTTTCGATTGTTGTTCGATAAAAGTTATTATTATAATAACTATATTTGTATATAAATAAATAAAAATAAAAGAAACGATATATAGAACTGTATTCACTGTGAATGCGAAGAAGACTGCAGAACTTGAAGAAAGCAAACTCGAGGTCGTGGCTTTATAATGTCTGAAAAATATTATACGTTTTATTATTTATTGTTATAATGTATCATTTTAAATTGATTACTTTTTGTAAGCCCGTTGTGAAGCTTTTAACTTTATTATTGCATTTATAGATACCCAGTTTGAAATGGGTTTTTATATAATATCTGAAACGTATATAAAAACCGAATAACAAATAAAACTTCGAGAATAGAACTTTTTAATGTGAATTTGTATTGACGTCCTACATAATACAACAGTTTTCTATCTGGTCAAGTACGTTCTTGAAAATAACAAATATATATATAAACGAGTATATTGTGTAAAACTATATACAGGGTGATTTTTTTAAGTATGGTCGCCTTATTTTTATAGTTAATTTCAAATTCTGATTTTTGAAAATTTAAAAAAAAAAAAATCATCATTTGCATTAAAACATGTAGGGTCCTCATTTGGAAAACCAAAGTTGGTATCGCCACAGGATACTCGTTAAATGATGTGAAAGTTCTAAGTGTACGAAAATATCGTCTTATACTACACTTAAAAATTCTAAAAATCATAATTATACTAATCCATAATCTAACCATACAAATAGAGTATGCATAAAAAATCATCCTGTGTAGGTTCAAACTGTTTGACAGCGTTTTCACTTTTCAAAATGTTCAAAAGTAAGTATACATATTATAATAATTATTCACTTTAGTTTTTAATTAATTATACTTGTCGGATAACAGTGCAATGTTTTGAAGTACTCGACAGGATTAAAATGTTCAACTGCATAATAACAACATACGCCTGACTATACGAGATGAATATCAAACAAAGTTAAATACAAAAATGTTGTTATTTTTGAACTTTTAATAGATAATACCTACATAAATTCAAACCCACAATACAGTGATTAAAAGTAATAAATTCAAATGAAAACCAAATTGTATTATATTCTTAATACATTAAAATTATGTGGTGCAATTAATTAAGTGTCCTAACATATTTCATAGTGAAAATATAGTATAAGTTTGATAATAAACCATTTCACACCAGTATTAACACTAGCAGCACGAAATAGGATTTACTGAACAAAAGTTTGACATTCTTTTCTTTATTCGTAATATACATAGTTATATATATATATGTATATAAATATATAATTTTAAATTCTTAGTGTAGCGAAGAATGTATTGCTTTCACAAAGATCATTAAAATGTTTTTATTTTTTTATTCTGTGTACGAAAATTCTAACAGAAATCTTATTATGAAGTATCATCTTTTCTGAAAAGAAAATTTTCTCGAGGTGGAACTTAGGAAGATTATTTTTTGATTTTCCCACGATTTTTCCCGATAAATTGGGAAAAGCATGCGGGAAAAATTTAGGAAAAATAGGAAAATAGATAAAATTATAAACAAATATTATTTAAAATAATATGTAATTATTTTACTACAATGTGACATACATATTATTGACAAAGCAACTCTATTAACCGAATTCTGCTCAGAATCGTTTTATCGTTAGCAATGGTTAATCGTTACGTACATATATATATATATATATATATATTAAATTTCCCCTCTACCTTCCAAATTTCTCACCTACAACAGTGGCTCACCCACATGCGAAATATGTCTGTCTTTCTGTAATATTTTCTCATCCAGATTCGGCCGACTAACTTTAAGTAGATTTCAATTTATGAAATATATGGTCGTGGCATTGTCTTATAATGTTTGACAATAATACCTAGGTATATACTGCAGTAGCGTTCGTTTTTCTTAATGTTTGTATAAAAATCGTATAATAACAACATTTTAGAAAAATCGATCTATTTAAACTGTATCTATTAAAAATTAAAAATATTAGCAGTTGCATGTTTTATTATCGAAATCGATATTGTATAATGCATAGAATTAAAAATCGTATTTGTATCTCTACTATATTATATAAATGAGAAACGCAGAAGACAAATTAAAATACAGACAAACCAAAGCTCCCGAATAAATAGCGCAATGCGTTATATTATTCAATGTCGATTTTAAGAAAGTAAAAATACTTGGACGTTTGTCAACTATGAACAACTATTACACACTAATAATATTTGAATATCTGAAAAATGGGCAATCTTTTGGTTTTACAAATGTATGTATTTGTTTCGTAAGTACCCGATTAGCAGGGTAAAAATATTGAATATTTCCAAAATTTAATATGTTTATTATGTATTTTGATAAATTCAATTACACTTCATTTCATTACACACTTCGGCAGGCCACCAGGAACTCTTTAATTTGCCCAAGGTTTATTTTAGAGTTAAAAAAAAGTTCATACCTTTAAAATATCCATAATATATTATTTTTATGGGCACCTAAAAAGTGATTTTCAGGGGAGGAACATATTGGAACCGGGTCTTTAAACATGCATTTCAAGACTAATATGTGGATATAAGAACACAAGACCTATAGACAAAAGTTATGATATTATATCCATTAGGTGAGGGCGAATCAATATTTGTTTAGGTTATGCGTCGTGTGCCGTTCGTCAAGGCTCAACAAAAACAATTTATCGTGAGTTTCGATATTTTCCAAAAGGGAACATGTCCCCCTTTTGCACGCCCTCCCCCCTAACGGGCGCCTATGAATATTTTACTTAGTATATTTCAAATCAAATAAGTAAAATAATATCATAATATTATTGATAGCAGGTTTATCTTTCACTTATACTTATATCTATAAGTATTTATCTACTTATACCCATATAATATGTGTTGTAGAGTTATTATAAATGTGTGTACATTTTTTTTAGCAAGATTCGGGCGATTAACTTTAAGTATTTAAAGTAATTTATGAATTATATTGTCGTGGTACTGTCTTACAATGGTTGACAATAATATTATACACTGCAACGTTATTTTTCGTTTTATTAATATTTATATAAAATTCGTATAATAATAATATTTTAGAAATATCGATTTATTTAACCGGTGCCTATTAAAAATTTTGGTACCTGCAGTTGCATGTCATACTACTTATCGAAATCGATATTATATAATGCACGGTATTAAAAATCGTATTCGTATGCCTATAATATTATATTATAGACGAGACGACGTTAACTTTATTGCGGTGTATTATACGTCGGTGATTTCGTTTTAAAAATAATTTTTATACGTGTACGTAGTAATGTTTGTAATTTCGCTTGACACGTAATTGACAGTTTTTTCTGCAGATTTTTTATTCGCGAAAAAGCGAAAAACATAATTGTAATACATACCTACAGCCACTGCGGTAGTTTTAGTTTCGAATTGTATTTTTAGTACGTTTTAAGTGTGCCATTATGATAACATGATATTATGAGAAAAAAAAAAAAGTCATAATAACGCGTATCGGGGCTACGGGGAGATACGAGCGCTGCGCAGAGCGCATGGCTCTGGCAGGACCTGCAGGCCGGGAGAAAACTAAAGGTCCGCGTAGGTTTGTTCGCGGCGATAAAGCTCCCCAATATCAAAATACATCGCTTACGGTACACTTCACCTGAGCGGACTGTTCGAATTTGCTGCTTTATTAAAAATTTAGTGAAAACGTAAGTAAACGAAATGATAATATAATAATGTAGTGTTTTCTTTTTTTTTTTTTTTTAACGGAAACAATAATAATTATTTAGCGTGTTTTTATCACGACATATTATTATAATATGACAATAAAATAATGTATATATTATAGTATAGTATTCAGTAGACCTACATCGAAATATATTTTACATATTAAAAAATATAATAATAACTTAATATCTATACAGTTGTAAACATATTATATTATAATACGCTAATCGTTCGTTTTTTTTTTTTAAATATTAGCTTTTTTTTTTACGAAATAAAATTTGTCTTCGTTTTTTTTTTCTATTATTATTATTTGAAAGAAAATGATCGATTTCGTATACTATTGTACAGTTTATAATAGTAACTATGCAGGTATATAGTTAAATGGTTTATTTTATGTAGTGAATCGAAAGTTGCGTAAAATATTGATAAAATTAAGCACAAATGCATTAATCACTATTTTTCCGGTTTGCTAAAAATTTTAATTTTAATTGAGTTTATTTTACAACGAAAACGGTACAAATGATGTATCCAAAAAATTAAATTTAGGAAAGAAAAGCGCCGCGATAAAAAAAAAAAAAAACAAAAAATACGAGAGATGACAAAATATCCGGAAACAAAAATGAATTAAATTAAATTTATAAAGCTACATACAATGTTGGTTAAGCAAAATAGAATATTATACCTAGGCACCTTAGAAATCAGTTTAAACTGTAGATTTTTAGTTCGCTGTACGAACATTCTCATTTTTCATTTGTAATTTTGTGAAATTTAACGAAATACATTTCAAGAACATTAGGTATATTACATATTATTATTATTATTATTAGGTTTTTTTTTTTTTTTTATTAAGTAAAAAGGCTTCGACTTCTAAGGACAGTAACCAATAAGTTATACAATAAGTAGTAAAATAGTTACATAATGTTGACAAGGTATATAAGGCGAATATAGGAGTACATATTAACATAAGAACATTTTATTTCAATTGGTTTATAATATATGATTAGCGAAGACAACCAAATTTAAAATAGCATCCGTGTTGACGTATTATTATATCGTCTATTAGATATTTGGTTACTAAGTAATTTCTTTCGCTTTCGATAAATATTTTTAAACATAGGTACATCTGCTTATAGTTTTTTAATAAATAATTTTCAGTTTTCAATCACAGTGAAAATAATTTAGCAACTTAATAAAAAAAAGAAAAGAATACTATAGACATTCACATATAGAAATATTTTAGTAAGTAAAATTAAAAGTATTTAAACGAATTCGGTAAATCGAATTATTATGCTGTGCATTTAATACTATATTATCATCAATCATATTTTTTGATGTTTTAAACATAATTTTTACTTATAAAAAAATAATAATAATTTACCTATCGATTAGTTATTGAAATTAACATATTGTAATGCGAATTAAACTTTTTTTTTTTTTATTTGTTCTGTTAACGATAAAAGTATGACGTTCGGTCCCAAAATATTATTTTTTGAAATCATATTTTGAACATATAAAATGAAATAATATTCTTGTCTGCCCGCGTGGAAGCGGAAAACGATAATTTTTTTTAAATTTTAATTTTCCGGTAATAATAATAAGCTATATTGAGGACAATGTATTTTTATGTTTGAACAAGTAAATGCTATGCCTACCTACTGCGGCCGGGTTCGCGGTAAATGAACGGTTTATCCAATTAACCGCGAATGGTCCAGGAACACGTGCCAAATTATAAATGTTTTAGCAAATAATAAGGTTGATCCAAAATTTGTTTTCGTAAAATCTTTACGACTCTCGTCCCCTGTGCTAATATAAAAATACATTTTACCTACCTAGCATCTTATTATAGAATACGATTATTTTTCGCGGGGTAATGATGATATAAATGATAATATTAACCTAAAAAAAATATGACAGTTCCCGGCCGTCAAAGCCGTGGATAAATTACTTTCATTCGACTCATTAAAAATCGTACCTTTAGATAAGCGTGGTATTAAGTTAATTTGACTTGCGATCAGGACTTTCGGACGAACGATAATAGCGTCAACATTTTCAAGAAATTTTTTAATGAATTTAGGATATTTCTATTTATTTACGTTTTATTTTGTATGGGACATCATATATCGCCACACCCAGCAGTTGCGTGCCCAATAATTTTCAGTTTGGTGGGATGTAACGAATATAAACCTTGAAAAAACCTAACCTAACCTTAGAATTTTCTTTGCTACCCAACTCTCGACTGTAGGAATTTAAAATCCAGGTCTCAAAAATCCTGCGATTTTCCATGCAACTTGGTTGAAATATAATATATTACCTATATTTCAAGATTAAATTACTAAATAAATACTCACAGCTTGTAATTTTAAGCCAATCTGTGAGAAGGGACACAACCCTTAACTTTCCTCCTTCTGCACGATACATACGAAATGCGATTATGCGAACGATACAAACACAATAAGACCGTCGATTAAATTATAACCGAATAATAATTAATTGTTTCAAACAATTTAGATTTTCATCTAAAACCATGGACCCCGCTGTAGCAGCTAAGATGGAAAGCGGTTGGAGCGCACTTTCGTCGTCTGACAGCAAATCGCTGTTAAAAAAATACCTAACGAAAGAAGTGTTCGACCAGTTAAAGGACAAAAAGACCGAATTCGGTTCCACACTTTTGGACTGTGTACAATCGGGTAAGATATTTTACACTCGCTCGAAGTATATTATAGAAAAACCTAATCCCCGTCGGTAGCGAACAAAGGTAAAAATTTCGGAAGGTTGGGGTTGCAAAAATATCTTATTTGACCTTTGTATTGCAGGTAAATCAATTTATTAATAACAAATTAAAGGTTAATATTCATATTTCGAAGAGGGTACGAACCTCCGAACCCCTCCAACGTTCGCTATTGATACCTATTGTCTATTCGCCACGAATGTAGTAGCCCGATTGTGTTGTAGAAAGGCTTTTTTTTTGTGTCAATAATACATATTAAACGATAATATACTCAGAAAAATAAACCAAGTTTTTCAATTAATACTCGTAATACTTGTATGTAATATCATAATATATTATAGTACATATTGTACGTATTTTGATACTTTATTATTACAAGTATACAAAAATCTCAATTAATCGGTGAAAAGCTATTGGTATTTAAGCTTTTGGTTTGAAAACTAAAGGTTTCTTCGATACCAATTACAATGAAGTATTAAGCAAATTAACATGGATTAGTACATTTAAATAAAACACGTATAATCAAATTAATATATATTGAATTAGAAAAAAAAAGGCACCTACGATTCGATTAATATATTTTATTGATTTCAGTGTATAAGCTTGATTCCTCTGGAGATAAATATTGTATTAATCTTATTATTACATTTCGTAAATCGTACTATACAAACTGAATATTATAACCAAATGTTTTTTTAAAAGCCTCGAGAGAAAAAGAATCGAATCCTATTTTTATGATTTTCATAATAGTTTTCTAAATGATTTTAAAATTCATTAATGCCATTGTTTTTCAATCAGTTTGTAAAGAATCTAGCATTGTTTATCATTTGTTAAAAAATATAAAACTAAATGAAATAAAATCGACAACATCTAAAAAGTTTCTAAAACTTAAAGCAAAAATGTGCGTGTTCGCTGTATAATTCAATTTTTACATTTCGTTTTATAAATACATAAAAATAAGAATACAAAAAAAAAAAAAATGATCGGTTTTTCGTAATAAACGTAGGTACTTATTGTGTAACTGAAAAATTAATTTAGGTATTGGAAATTGGAAGAAATCCGTTGGGTTTTATTTTATTATTATTTTTTGGCTATCGGTATTTCAGTTTCTCGATTATATTTAGAAAAACGTACACCGTCAATCACATAAAATGATGTATCCGCTAACGTAGACATTGTTTTGGCAACGCCCTTGTCATGATGAAAAATAAATAACAAAAAAAGAAAACATCAAAAATAATATTCTCGTCCTAAAGTGATTAATGGAACGCCGGTAAATCAATCACAGAACAACGTTTCTTTTGTCGGTTTTAGTAGGTATAACTCATGGGGAAGGAACATTTTTACTTTTTTTTTTTTTGGTGTTGGCGGGGATGTCTCGTTCAAATGTAGGTCACTGGGAAACCGAGCCAGACTGCTTGACGCCCTTAGGATCAATATCCCGGATTCTAAACCCGCTCCCTGCACTACCCAGCATCACTAAAAGCTCACTCCCCCTTTCGACCGCCGCAGTACATATTATAATGTCCCTGCATTAACCCATTCAAGGTTGGTGTATCATAGTCTCTTGTCGGCATTTAAAATGTACACTTACACTATCGTAAGAATACAAAATAATAAATAATAAACAAATTACGGTTCTCAGACCCATTATAGTGTACCTTTGTGGGATACCCTGAATTCGAAAAAACTATTTAAATTATATATTATTATACCGTGCGTACCTAGTACCTACATTAGGAATAGCCAAGGTTAAACGTTCTTATGAACAAAAAATCAATATTATGGGCATCAAACACGACCATTTTACATGCAAATTATCGTTATCATTTTCCAGGGTGTATCTGGAAACAATGCCGGTTGTAGACGTTGTAATATCCTGAGGAAAACTAACGTTAATAATAGTTCATAATAATTAAAATGTTATTCATTAATTGAGTAATAGTTGATTAATTAATTTCTTCTCCAGACCTACCTGCGATTACCTATCTATACAGGGTAGATTCTACACTATTTCATTCTTCCAATGTGCTCGGTATTTAAGAATTTGCGTATAGTTAATTTTAGCGACATTTTTGACAAAAAAAAAAAAAATTATCAATTTTATAATATTCATATTTACTCTCAAATAAAGCGATCCTGCGGGACATTTATCACAAGTATATTTATAAGTAATTATGCAATTTGTTCACGCAAAACCAAAAACAAAGATCCTTTAAATTGCAGATTTTATAAAATATTACCTATAGTAATCTAACCTAACCTACGATATGGAAACAATATTTCCGAGGTAAACTCATATACGTTTTGTGTTACCTATAACACGAATACAAAATTAAATGGTTTAATTTTTATAAATCTCCGTATCTTTTTTTCCAATTGATCTTCTAAAAAATAGACATTTTCATGTACCTAAATCATTTAAATTTTTTTTGCTTATGTCCATTTAACGTTATACGTGTTTTTACCATAGATAATTTGTCCATTCTTCCAATTACTTTATGCACATTTAATACTATTTTTCTTAATAATTTATAACATTATTATAATAAAACACCGATAAGATGTTTACAACACTGCAGATTTAAATTGTTCGTTTTATATTTTACCTGAAATATTTGGTTTAAAATATTATTTAGGGGTTCCCATTTAGAAATTCATTTGTTTTACGTTGTTTAAAATAATTTATTTTATTTTAGGATTCGAAAACCACGATTCGGGAGTCGGTATCTATGCTCCAGACGCTGATTCGTACACAGTATTTGCGCCCATTTTCGATCCAATCATCGAGGATTACCATAAGGGTTTCAAGTCTACAGACAAACATCCCGAAAAAGATTGGGGTGATGTGAACACACTTGGTGACCTGGACCCACAGGTAACAATTTAGAAAAAAAAAAATGAATGCCACGAGATTTTTACACACGTATTTTTTTATCAAAAGGGCAAATACATCATTTCTACAAGAGTACGTTGTGGTCGTTCACTTCAAGGATATCCGTTCAATCCTTTGCTTACCGAAGCTCAATACAAGGAGATTGAGAGTAACGTATCTTCTACACTGACGGCACTTTCTGGAGAACTGAAAGGAGCGTTTTATCCTTTGACCGGCATGTCTAAAGATGTGCAACAAAAATTGATCGATGATCATTTTCTATTCAAGGAAGGAGATAGATTTTTACAGGTGCGTGATTCTAAAAGCACTTAGAAAATATAATCAAATATAAATATTTTTCTATTGAGTGTTTGTTTTTTATTACATTTTTAAAAACACACGAACAGCCTTTTTATATGTATTATATTGTAAGTGGAGCGAAGCAGTAGCGAGGTGAACTCAAAATTTTTAAGAGGCAATTATTTTACATTAAACATAGTACGCTAAAGAACAAAAAAAAAAATAAATAAATTCCAAAAATTGATTATTTTTAATCTTTCTCCTAACTCTTTGTATTATAATAATGTACAATGTACCATAGAATAATCTTTAAATACGAATTTTGTAATAATATTATATTACGGATGTTCGAATAGGCCGCTAACGCTTCACGGTACTGGCCAACTGGACGTGGAATATTCCATAACGAGAACAAGACGTTCCTTGTGTGGTGCAATGAGGAAGATCACTTGAGGCTCATATCTATGCAAATGGGCGGAAACTTGGGAGAGGTTAAACATTAAAATATTATATAATCAGTTGAATCGATACTTGAACGTAGAAATTATTGTTCGCAGGTATACAAACGGCTCGTAACGGCCGTAAACGATGTGGAAAAAAGGCTTCCGTTTTCGCATCACGACCGTTTGGGCTTCTTAACGTTCTGCCCAACCAACTTGGGAACAACTATCCGCGCGTCAGTGCACATTGGGTTGCCTAAATTGGCCGCCGACAAAGCTAAATTGGAAGAAGTCGCTGGAAAATATAACTTGCAGGTATACTAATGACACTATGTTTAACTGTTTCACTTTTAATTCGATTATACAGACATAATGTTATTGGTTTGTTTGTATCTTTAGGTCATAAAAATTAGACGTATCTTATACACATTTTTTTTTAAATTTTTAATTAAAAGTTCAGGTAGGTACGTTCTTGAAATCTAATAGATGTATCTTCAACGTGTAACATTCCAAAATATTACGTTTAACTGATTTTTGTTAGACGTGCTACCAGGGTAGGGTTCAAACATTGGGTAAAATACAAAAAACTGTGTTTGTATAGGTATCTGGTATAATAGTAATACTTAATAGGTATTATTTTATTAAAAAATTGTATAAGACTGAATGGAACAAGGAAATTCTTTATTTTTATAAATTTTTCCATTTGCCTTAGGTATTTAACATATTATCTTCAATATTCATAGTAACAAATGCAATCCCCGTTTTTCCATTACCTACCATTTACCAATATACATACACAATTTCATTAACAGTATAACCAACACATTCTGTGTATATTGAGAAGAACTTATTTATTTTGTCTGTTTTCCTAGTTTGTATTTCTAAGGTATGATTTTAAATTGTAATTTATAAATTAATAAAAAAATATGTTACAAAGTTGAGGGGGGTTAAAACTTAGAGGCCATTCTTTTGGAATCCACCGCCATTGATTTTTTTTAATAAATTACCATTGAAATGTTTGTCTTTAATGTCATTATATTATTTCATAAGTGTTAATTATTTTAATCGAACATAATATAAAAAAAAGAAACAAAAATGTTTTTATACTCGTAGGTATTTTAGGTCAACATTTTTAATTTTTGTGAAAATGTTATAATTATATCTAGTTCATTGAGAAAATTGTGTTTATACAGGGTACTAAAATCTAGAATTATTTTTCTTATTTAGGTAAGAGGTACTCGTGGAGAACATACCGACGCTGAAGGTGGAATCTACGATATTTCAAACAAAAGACGTATGGGTTTGACCGAATACCAAGCCGTTAAGGAAATGAACGACGGTATTTTGGAGTTAATCAAAATTGAAGAATCGTTGTAAACATGCAAGGTCATCATGCAATACAGTAGCATGCCTACTTGTAATAACGATAATAAAATGCAAAATCTAGTCGTATAAAAAAAAATATCTAGTCAACGCTTTTTATCTTCCACTCGTTACTATATTTTGTCGAAGCAAAATATAATTAACGGGGTTATAAATTATAGCTTATAAAAATAATCATGTATAATATTATATTATAATGAGTAAAACGTATGTGTATAGACAATATAAGTTTGAAAAAAACAATGCTATCTTTATCTTTTTAAAATTAAATTATCGTATTTGATGTATTATCATAGATAATATATATTTTAATTATTTTCTTATCTACTCATCATTTTAATGTTAAAGTATAATAGCGTTTCAATATTCCTAAATAATATTATTATAATATTCTGTTTTAAATATTGACGGATAATTTAGTCAAAATATGTTATCGTCTATATAATATGAACTTAATTCATTTTAAAATTGTATTCATGAAATACATAATATTATTAGCTCATTATTGTATAACATTATATTATGTATAGATTGATAATATTATATTGTTGACAAGAAAATAAAAACCATCGATCAAAATAAACGATAATTAAGTTATATTTTACATTGATTGTAAGCAATTTTGATTCAAATTCAGCACCCAATGGAGTTGATTTTTCATTGTGATTTTTTCGTAAGCTCGAAATGAGCGGATCTGATGAAATAAGTAAATTATCAAACAAATCGCATTGTTTTCTAAATGCCTTTCTTATGTTATTGTATTGGACGTTTTTCATAATATTCTTATTTATAGCTTCCTCACTTCCTGCGCTTTTCCTGGTAATAGGCCGATTGACAATATGCCCGTGCACGAGTGATAATGGTCACCTACCTACCTGCTATCATTTTAAATATGAATTATTAAAACGGTGACGTGTATTTGATGTATTTAAATATACGGGGGATGCCTTGAACACTGGCTATCGCATATCGAAGTGCTACGATTGAAGTGTACCTCGGGAGGTTACTTAAATAGGTGATTCGATGAAAAGCAAGAAAAACAATTACCACGTGGCATTCACCTCTAACTGGACATCGCGATTTAATCTCCTTTCTAGTCTACGGGCTATACGACGGTTCAAGTATTATGATTATAAATTATTATGCATTTATTATTATAAACTCTAACAGCTCTAACCGGTATACTGTGTCCATGAGCTGTCAACGCACTTCATTTATGCTGGGGTAGACATATAATTTTATCTATTCTATAGTTGTATATTATACAGCTAGTTGATTGAACATTTAATGAAATATAGAATTTTAAAATATTTCAATTTGTATTATTATAACAATTTTTTTTTCATAAAATAATTAAATAATACAATTTTTAGAAATATTGAACATATTTTCTTTGATGTGATTATTTTTTTTTTGTTTACAATTAGTCAAAATGTAAAATATACAATACAACAATACGTATGTGTATAATATTATGTTTTTCATACTCAGATAATGGTTTTCTTACTGGTGATAATTTATTGTATACAAAAAGCGGACATACTTCGCATGATTAGTGGACCGCTGTTGTAGGTGAGAAATTAAGAAAGTAGGATATAGAAGGGAATTTAATGATGTATATCTGTACGTAATGATAAATCATTGCTAACAAAAACGATTCTGAGCGGAGATCAGTTTTACATGTTTTAAAAGGCAATATTTACGATTTTCGTCTAAATTTGATATTGATTCTTTTAAAATAAATTTCAAATTTGTCTTGTTAACTACTAAGTACTATTCATAATGAACCTTCTATTAAATTTTCAAATATTTCTGTTTGTTCTAAAAATTGTATCCATAGAGTACGTACCGAATAAAAATTACGTAAAAAAACTCGCAAAATTAAAACGTCTATAAACAGCTCAAAAATATCAAAAATGTTTTTGGAATTTTACCACGTTTGGATAACGAAAATATAAGTTTTCCGTCCAAATTTCAAGTCTTGCTTTGCTTAGAATATAAAAAATAACAGTACTTATACATTATAATAACTTATTAACGTACAAATGAAATCATCTTACTGTGTGATTGCACGTTGAACAATGATAATAATGATATATCTAATTATCTCCTAAATAGGTTAACTTATATGTGTAAGGGGCAGTATTTATGGGCACTATTTGGAAATTAAATAATAAATAAAATCCAATATTTCTCCCGAACTATTTTAGACTTTAAACACCATATACCTACAGCATTATAATATAATTGTGTGTTTTCACTAAAAACCGGAGAAAATGTTTTGTCGAATAAAATATCTTTCGTCCTCGGGAAAAAATGATTGAGGCAATTTTGTACAGTTTTCTGTAATCCAAAGAAATTACATTTTAAATCTAATCAAATAATTAATATTAATCATTTATAATAATATATTTCAAGATTCAGGTATGCATTTTTTGCCAAACAAAAAGTATAACTATCATAATTCATAGTGACTTAAGATTTTAATCTTTAGCATAATATGCGTTCGAACATGATATTATCTGTAATATATAATAATATTATGATATCTATAATTATGTTATTTAGACCGAGTATAATAAAATACAAATTGCATAATATGATACAATTATATTTGTATATTAAATTTTATATATATTTTTAAATTTAAACCCTTGAAACCAAAGATATATTGCACGATTTATCGGTAAAGGAGGATTGTATTTTTACGGTCGAAGATAATTTTTCAATTATACTCAACTATTATAAAAACTGCTTGGAAGATCAACAAATTAATAAATTATTAACCAACTAGATTCAAAATCCAATAAAAAAGGTTTCTTGTAATTTTTTTTTTGAAATTCAATCAAAATATCTGGTAGAAAAGTTGTTTACAAAAATAAATGTACACATTATAGCAGTGGTTCCCAACCTCTTCTATCCTATGCTCCTTTTGTAGATTTCAAAAAATCTCGCGCCCCCCCTCCTATAAAATGAATCGTTATACAATCTTATTTTCTGTGAAGCCATTATTTTTAATTACGTACACTCGCGACGACTACGTACTACGAAACTACGTGCGCTATACAACTGCAAAACGAAACTAAATTGAGTCTAAACTAATCTAATAGCTTTTTCCCCTGACATCCTTTTATCGTATCAATTAATTTACAGATAACGTGGCATACAACGTTTTAGTTATGCGCTGTGGTCAAACATTAATAGTCTTTATCGGTTATTCGTTATTTATACCCGATAACGGATAAAAAGAACCGGAAAATTATTTTTTTTCTCTACGTTTTAAAATAAAAATAATATAATCAATAAAAATTGTAATTCTTAATAACTGCTTGTGCCTCCCAGCAATGTGTATACGCTCCCCAGTTTGGGAACCAGTGCATTATAGTAAAACCAATTCTTCATTACGCTTAAAATCTAAAAACACCCATCATAGTAAAACTAATACGTTCCTCACTCGGCTCATAAAATAAAACATGTTTATTGTTAAATACCTTTATGGGGTAGTTATAATAATATATTTTAATTGATTCATTGAGTTTTTGTTTTTGGTTTTTTTTTTTTTTTTTCATATATCGTTACTTATAGTTAAGTGAAATATCATCTGTGAGTGGTTAACCCAACAGTAATAATTATTGGTCATCGAAGAGGTGAACAATTATTTGTAGGTATCATCTGCAGGTTCAGCATCAGCCTATTAATTGTAAACTTCCGATTTCGGTTAGTCTCGTGTGACAAGTAAAATAAACGTCTATTATCTGCTGATATCATACTTTAATTTCATATTAATCAATCCGGCTATAAAATATAATAATATATAATTAAGAATAATAATTAAAAAAAAATCGTTTATTATTATTATGATAATTTACTGAGTAGCGCCGTTCAGACGAGACTTCATTGATTATTTTAACGCTAAAACGAGCTCATCTACGTGTAAAAAATGTTATAGACATTTACATCATTTAAATTTTCTAATTGTGAAATATATAAAATGAAAAAATAACATAAATTATTAAAATTATTTTTCGCTAAAATATTTATTATAATGTGAAGAATATAGTTAACAATAACTGGATACTATGAAAAATCCGGATATACTTCGCACTCACCATGGGTGGGTCACGGTTGTATGGGAGAAGTTTTAATATTATTGGATATGCGGTGGTACACGGTTGCGAATGGTTTTATCTGGTGAAACTCGTTTACGTTCAATAAAAATTGTTTACCTGTTAATCCACGACTCGTTTGCGCACAACATTTATGTATTTTTAAATTCGGACCTACTTAAGTTAATTGAATTATCAGTCACAGATTGTAGAACGAATTATCGAATATTTATCTTACAGTATAAAATAATCGTTTGTAGGATACCTATATCGTTTTACGTACTTTTAGTATAGTTTCAATTGGTTAACTGAGCTGTAGTGTTGAACAATTAGTTGTAGACCAGTAAATAGTATAGAAACTGTAGGATACGGTCGCTAAAATTTTTCATATTTTTGAAACGCGGTGAAGAAATAAATGTTTTAACATCGATAATTATACATTTATTAAATTTCGTAATTCAAAAAATGTAGATGATAAATTTTAGATGTACTAAAAAATAATCTGTGAATGTTATTTATAATAAATTAAAAAAAGTTATAAAGGTGACAAACACTTAAAATCGTGAGGAGTATAACAATCAAACAATGACAGGCGAAATTATCAAGAGTACATATTTTAAACGTAGTGGATAACACGATTTATACATAAAACCAAACAAATTAATATCCTAAGAGTTACGAAGTAAAGATGATTTTAGTTTAAATTTACAATATAATTATGTAAAATTACTACAGAGATCAATATTTGAATATAGAAAAAAGTACTTTCCAAATTTACCAAAATCGGAAGTCGGAAGAAACCAACTTATCAATATGCAAAATAACCTTCAATAACAAGATAATAAATTATGTTTTCCCAGTGATGATCAAAGCATATTTATATTTGTGTGTAAAAATAACTTGGGATTATATTGAAATTCGCTGAACACGTTTTTGGGCATGAAACTTTTACATTAATCCCTACATACAGGTATGCGCACGGGATGTGCTGAGGATGTGAAAACATTGTGTTTTTATTTCTTTGGAAAAATCCTAATAATATGTTGTGGTATAATCTGAATATTTAGACCATTAGTTATTTATTGCTCTGCGGATAATATTGGAAGTTATAGTTTTTAGATTCTTAGCTATTGGTATTGCTAAGATGTTTATTTTTTTTGTTCTTTGTTCTAGCCTGTGGACACGTTTTTTCCTAGTAAACTTGCTCCAATTTTTGCGTGTAGCATCTTTTCTGAAAGCTCAAGTAGTCTAGATGGTACTTTAAACGAAAAATCACCAGATATCTATTTTATTACCTTTTTAGTTTACTTTCTTACGGTATCATTGCCAAAACTTTTGAATCACTTTTGCGCTTTTAAGGAATTTTAATTTTTGGGAGTTTTTTTTGTTATAACTCGGTTATAAATACACGTAGAAACTTGAAACTTGGTTATAATACTTATATTGGACTTACCTAGACGTGGTGAAATTTTCAAAATTATCGGACGAGTTTTTTTCTTTTTTAATAAGCGCTTTGAAATCACATTTAAACCAAAATCACAAAAAAAAAATTACGGCCCTTCAAATTATGT